CATACCGAGTCGCATCGTCATGGGTACATTCTGGACGGCGCAGGTGACCCATTTCTTGGGCACGTCGACTTGGACGCAGTCAAAACAGGCGCTAATCTCATCTTTGTGGTCCAGGAGGGTTTGGCGGTCAGCGTCATTCTTGGATCCGGGGTAGGCGAGGGAGGTGAGGCAGAACTTTTCTGCAGGGCGGCCGTGATGGTTCGTGCGAGGTATTCGGCTTCGCGGGCGTGGGCTGGAGAGACGGCGGAGAAATGGGGGAGTTTGGTGTCGAGGTAGGCGGCGAAAGAGCGGTAGACCTCCGCTTTAGCAAGAGCTTCAGAGACGAGGGTCTCAGCGAAGGTTGTAATGGAACCAGAAGCATTAGGGGTGGCGGTGGTGGCGTGGGCAAAACGGGCTTCCTCGCCCGCAGTCCGGGCTCTTTTGGCCGACTGCGCCGTCGTGGAGGGCGGGGGCGGGACGCAAAGGATGTCCGGCAAAGGAGTAACCGGTATTATAGCCGGCGGCGGTGGATTGGAGGCCCCAGAGGGCGAAGGCGTCGACATTTTGGTGTTGTGGATGTTGGGATATCGACCGTGAAAACGGCGATTTAGGTGGTGTTAGGGATTTTGCGGGCAACTAAGAGTTAAGACTAACACTTGGCGCCAAGGCTTTTTGTTGTAGGAGGAAGATGAGGATAGGGGCAGTGGCAGATGGAAGTAAAGGAGACGGGACAAGGGGAACGAAAAGAATAGAAAAACCCCCCTATAAAGATCATTCAACTCTAAACACCAGGCACCATAACGCCAAACACCATATCCTCCAGACACCACAACGCCGACGCCGAACGCCAACGCCAAACCTCCAACCCGTTCCTAGCGTAGCCTTGTAGGCAACATGTCCTCGGAAAGTTGGCATCTTTTCTTCCATCCCATGGTTTTCCGCTCATGTTCTTCCCTGGTTTCTTCCTCTTGTCTGGTATCTCCTGCCTCTTCTCGTGTATATCGTCATGTAGGTATGTTTCGTCCTTGCTCCGGACTCCGGTAGATGCATGACTTGTCTGTGTCCCGGGATGGAGTTCCGGGGAGGGAGCTTTCGTTCTTTGAGCAGGCTGATACTTTTTACCTTCTTCGCCTTTTCTGCTGTATTTATCCTTTTTTCTCTCCTTTGATTCCTCGGACGACCGCATCGCTGATCAGTGAGTGTGTTCCTTGTGCGTTCCTTTCAGATCGCACACACACTGTGCGTCATCATTTCAGCTTTGCGCCATATCCCAAGTTCTTTGCAGAACCGGGCAAGGAAGGAAGGAAGGGAAGAAAACTGAGAGAGTTCTGGGCCTTCCCTGCTCAGGCAGCTAGTCGTTTGAGCGGCAAGACCTCTGCTCGAGGCTTTTCGACAGCAGTTCTGGAACTGACGTCCCAAAATATTCCTTCCATGCAGACCTTCATCCTTACCTGTGCAAGGTTCAAAGTTCAAGAGCCAAGGCCCCCTGACCTCTACATTCTCTCATCAGCCCTTACGGTATCTCGTTGTCGTGTGTCTGTCGCCAGACGCTTGTTCAGACTAAGATCTATCCAATTTCCCGTGTCATTCGCGCCCATCAATCTTTGTCTTCCCTCCAATTCAGGGGCTCGAACGAAGGCACAGACGATTTGGCGCTGTGGACAGTGACGGTGTCAGAAAATCAGACACTAGGCGTTAAAGGGCCCGAAGATGAAGAAGGCATAGAAGATGCCGAATAGACGAGAGCTCAGGTTGGCGGCCCAGAAGCGGAAAACGAAGAGGAAAACGAAGAGGAAGGAGTGGGCGGGGTATCCGGTACCACAATTTCATGAACCGGTGGATCAGGGGCAGGAGGAGCATCAAAACCAGCAGGAACAAGCATAAACACAGCATGCTCCTCCCCCTCTTCCTGCTCCCCCTCTTCCTCCTCCTCCTCTTCCTCCTCCTCCTCTTCCTCCTCCTCCTCTTCCTCCTCCTCCTCTTCCTCCTCCTCCTCTTCCTCCAATTGGCTCTCCTCCTCCTCAAGAAGGAAACCATCCCCAATCAACGCCGCCTCGTCGGCCGTAAAGAACGACACCAACTCCCTGAAGAGAGCCGGGGCAAAGAAACCCTCCGCGCCATGGGACTTGTCCTCCTCGAGCATGGGCTGCCCTGGAGCAGCAGGGAACGGAGCGGGGGACAAGATGGTAAACACGGACATGAACGACGACGACATGTTGGACGACGAGGGGAAAATTTTCTTGGAAAGGGAGTAAAAGACCCAGGGTCCCGAGAAAAAGAAACGGCAAAACAACAAAAAGAACAGGTGCGGGAAGCAAAAGACATGGTGCAGCTGACGAATGCATGCACGTGGAAAGAGCCGGCGTCGCAAGGGGAACGCCTGGCGTCGGAAGGAGAGGATGCACGGCATTTGCAGGGACCCGGGCATGCGGGCCGCAGCGAAAAAGTAGACGCGACGACCAATGCTAGGGACCAGGAAGAAGACGCGACCGAGATGGGGGATCTCGGAGACAAGCAGAGCAAAGGGGGGAGGCGGAAGTGACCGCACGAGGGGGCGGGACTCCCTTTCCTCCCTTTACCCCTGGTCTTCATGTCTTCCAACCTCAGTCCCATCTTTGTTGCCGCGCACACCAGGAGAGGATGGGTCTCCCTTATGGTCTTCTTTGCTTTCGCCTTCCCCTTCCCCTTGGCCTTGGCCTTGGTGAGGCCCAGCACGGCCTCCAATGCAAGTTCAGTCTCGTCTTCCCTTTTCCTGATCGCCTTTGCGACCCTTTTCTTCTTCTCCTTCCTCTGCCGCTGCTTTCTCGCCTTTCTTTTTTTTCGCAGCCTCTTCAGATATTGGCGCTCAACCTCCTTTTGGCGAAGGAATGCCTCCTCCGTGTTCGCTATCGTGGCTCCGATAAAGTTCGGTAAGAGACCCCCGTCTGGAGTCAAGCCGAACATGGAGTTGTCGGGACACCAGAGAAGATCTGCGTCCCATTCGCCGTCGCTGTTGAGCATGGTGTTGAGGTAATCGTCGCCGTACATAGTGATGGTGCTGGTGTTGGTGTTGGTGTTGGTGTTGGGCTCCATTGGGTTAAGTGACGGGAACTGTGAAAAGGTCATGAGGTCAGTAAGGGTAAAGGGGCAGACAGGCAGTAAGTAGATGACTTACGGGAACCTAATGGGGACGAGGTGTGAAAAGGAGCAAGAGTACGGAGCCTACACTGACCAGGTAATGGGTATAGGTCAGGTAGGTAATGTAGCTATTAGATTTACACCGGCTTAGGCCAAGCAAGTGTAACTTTGTAAGAAGGAAAGATAGAGACGGAAGTTTTCGTCTCAATAGAAATGAGAAGTTGGCGTTGGTCTTGAGCTTTGAAGTGGCTAGCGGTAATTTGCGTAGGTATTGTAATTTTAATTCGCGACTCGGCTGGGCAGGATCAGATCGAGGAAGCGCACCCACTGCACTGGAGGACTGGAGGAAGTCACGGTGATACTCGCTGGAGTCAATATTCAACAGAACCCAGCACGCAGAGTGCAGCGTGCTAAGAGTAACAGTGAGAGTCTTGATCGTCCCAACCTCAAGGGAAAGACAGTTTGTCCGAGGGGAATTGAACGATCGAAGGCCAGCGTTGGTGTTGGGAGTGTCTTACACTGTAGGTACACAAGAAGAAGGGAGAGCTCAGGTCAGGTCAAGTGAGAACTGGAACTGGAACTGGAAGAGGAAGAAGTGTCGATTACTTACCTGTACGTGGGGTGTCTCGGTGTCTCAAAGTTGCAGACGGGCGGGAGAGGGGCAGGATAGAGGCCGGCCAATCGCAAGGGGAATTTCTGCCGGAGCACCGAAGCTGGCGCAGTGTTGCAGGGACTCGAAGCAGGGACTCGAAGCAGGGACTCGAAGCAGGGACTCGAAGCAGGGACTCGAAGCAGGTACTCGAAGCAGGTACTCGAAAGCAGGGCCCCTTCCGAGAATTATCCCTTCTTTCTTCCCTTCTTTGTTGGATGGGCAATCCTGGGAGTTGGGAGGACGTCGTCGAAGAGACAATTGATTACCTCAGCAAGGAAACTTGAGGTACTGAGATCCAAGAAAGCCCAGTGTTCCAATTGGCAGAATTGAAGGCTTGGGGAAGGGAAGTTGATTTGGAAGACGTTGGCAGATTTGTCCGAAGACGAGTATTGGAAATGTATAGAACGGTGTCTGCTTCTGTTATCGAACTGAGCACACAGAGAGTGAGAGGGAATTGAGTTAGTAGAAGGGGAACAGGTCTTTTTTATCATGGAAGTTCCAGTCAGACAGAATTAATACAATTCCCAACATGAAGTTGATAAGGACCGAGTGTCTGAGTCCGTCCTGCGATGCTCTTCTGGGTTGTGCTGCGTCTGTGATGTCTAATCGCAGATGTATGTATGTGTGTCTGATCAGTCTGCCGTACATGGCCAATTTCTTGAGATCAGGCAGTTTCTCCCGTGAGGGAACAACAAATTCCTTGCACCAAGTAATCTCGACAGCTAGCTGGTAGGTAGGTACATATGTAGAGGTAGAGGGCGGACGTTACTTGAGAGAAGCGTCAGCATGAGGTGTGGTAACGGCAGATTGGCTCATTATTACTTGACCCACGTGAAGTCGAGACTCAAGTTCGCACTTCCTCTTCACTTTCACTTTCATCCAAAACTGTCGGCAGAGAGACTTGACTTGTTCAGCGATGGCAACGGACCTCATCTTGGGGAATGATCGAAACTGGCATCGATGACCGTAGGTACCTTAGGCTCTGTCATATTTTGTACATAGGGTTTGCAGAAAAGGTATAAAAAAAAACGACCCCGCCTAAAGGGGGAAACATTCTCTCTTATACAATTTTTTTTCGGTTGGCGGAGCCTTGTCACATGTCTCCTGTGTTCGTGAACCGCCTTTACCCTTCCTTCATTGTGTCCCAGCCAGCCATTTGTGGCTTTCTCCTATTCTGAGATAGGCACCTTTCGAATGTACCGAGAACCAAACCGATCTATGGCTCGATATTTCTGCGAGACGTACCTTATTATTTTTGCGGGCGTTGATTTTTAGGGTTCCAAGCCTTGGCTTAGGTCTAACTCTCGATCGAGTGTCTTATGCTTGGGGGCTTCTCACAGAAAAAATGATCACAACCACGAAGATCAACGACGCGAAATAATGCGGTACTTAGCTTTGAACCTCCGGTTCATCCCGTGTTCTGAGACACGAGGCGGCCGAGGAAGAAACTTCCGAGCCTCCGAGGCCTCGGAGGAAGCAATGTATGGACGTGAGAATGCAGGAAAAGAAGCTCCCAAGACTTGGAAGGATGTTGGGGATCAGGTGGCGAGGTGAAGGAAGACATCTGCAATCTCGTGGTTGCAGGTAAGTACATATGCTTGGTCTTATGTATTCCCCCCAAATCACGAACGCAGCTTAGCGTGCGTTGACGATGAGTCGCCAGGATGTGAGGTGGGAATAATTCAGACTGGCCGCATGAAGCAGAGGTACAAAGAGACTAAAATGACTAAGACAGTGTATTCCGTTGACGACAGCGGAGCGAGGTGGATGCCTACCTTGCTTTCGAGGTTGCTGCGAGGCAACGACAGCACACACGAGGCAAGACCCTCTTGTTTACTTGGTATCAACCAGGAAGCAGATCCGCTGTCGACGAGACCGGACATCTTGCACCATTGCGTCATCTTTGTCCCAGCAGCACTGATACTGAGTGTTGAAGCAGCATGTGAGAGGCGTCGGGGTATGGCAAGTGGTTCAAACGCTGTGGAAAAACGTCTGGATAGATGTACTGTCCGGCGTGGCTCGGAGTAAGTTTCTCCCGATCCCGCCCCCTTCGGGTTTTTTCTTCTTCTTTCTTCCAAAGCACCTGGTGACTGTGAGATTGGGTGTGGCGAGAATGCGGAAAAAAAGGGGTCTGTGGCGCTCTCCCTACGAAAGCCACGAGGTAACAGCCTGAGGTGGCGCAACCTTGCGGGAAGCTGGCAGCACAAGAGCGAACACCCCCAGCTGTCGGGGCAAGAGCGACGAGTCCCAGAACGGCCCGGGCGGGGACACAAATCCTCACTCATCAAGACACGACAAAGAGCCCCGACCTGGTTCACGAAACAGATTTCTCTGTAGCATAAGCAAGCTAAGCTCATGCCATCAAGCTCGCGACACTTCGACATGAACCAAGAGCAGGACCCACCAAGGACGTTCACGTCAGTGAGAGAACAGAAAATTGGAAGCAAAGGCCTGCCCTCGTTGTGTCCCACACTGCATCCTGAAGGAGCTAGAGGACGGGTGCGGGGATGTTCGACGTGCAAGGCGACGGTTTTCAACGGCCATTATTCCGAATTACGCCGAAGTACATCGAAGGCCCTAAAGAATACGAGTCTCACCACGTGGGTTGACGCGGAAAAACCTGTTAATGTGCATTGATAAATTTCATTTTCACAGCCTTGCAGGTTTATATCCCCAGATCCTTGTCCTTGCACGTTTCATGTATCGGTGAGTAGACGAGGCAGCGCTTTCCCTCTGGATAAAACTCTATGTTCACGGCAACACCAATCATTCAAGCGCACAGACGCCAAAATCCGGTCCGTTCTTCTTTCCTTCTCCCTTCTTTCCTTCTCCCTTCTTGCCGGTAGGCCTGAGAGGCAGGAAGTTGGCAGGTTAAGCCAGCCGACCAGGCACGAACTTTCTACTTGGGGAAAGTGCTAGGGAAGGCATCCACGACGGCTTCCATTTTCTGGCCCAGAACCGACTTCCTCGTTGACTCTCAAGGAGAGGATCCGGAACTCACAAGCCACGAAGTACGATGAGCCGATACTTGCGACCAACTCAGTCCCTAGGCTGTACCCAGAGGCCAGAGCCAGGAAAGAATTATCAGAACCGCCAGACAGTGACGGCCAAAGAAGAGAGCAATCCCCTGAAGCATCCTCTATACCTAGCAGTCGCTACGAGCGCTGTCCGTAGAAGGTCTTTAGCTACCACCAGAAGACTCAGCAGGCGGACAAGTACCCGAACATACGGTCTTTCTCCGCGAAAACGCACTCATTCCGGCCTACGGCTTCTCTGCCTTGTTTCTAGAGCTTTTGAGCGGAGGGCCACGAGTGATGCATGGAGCAGAACAAACGGGAGAAATCAGCTAGTGGCCCACTTTTGTTATGGAGATTTGACCCGTCTTTCTTTCCCTCTGCGGGCCAGACCGCAAGGAAGCTGTTACCCTGGACACAAGTTCTCCCTGGAAACAGGAAGGAGAGATGCTTCTGTTGAACCCGCGGAAAGCTGATCACACCCCGGGCTCAAATTCCCCGCCAGTTTACGGTGAGCAACACGAATTCACGAAGCTCGATGACCCGATGCCACACATATCGCCAAGCCAGTGATCGGTGATATCCAGAGCAATGACCGAGCCATCAGAACTGCCAGACAGCTAGAAGAAAGGCCACCCCCTGAAGCAGTCTCCATGACAGTCACTCTGAGCGCTGTAGAAGGCCCCTAACCATTTTCCAGGCGGACGGCCCTTCAGCCCTTCGGCGCTTTCCAGTTGAATTGCAGCCAGTCAAGCGCACTTTTCCCGTCCCTGGAATCAACGAGCTGCCGTTCCCAAGACCGAAGAGGAATCGCAAGGAGACATCAATATTCTTCAAGAACTGACGGCAAACACATTTTCCAGTCCCTTGGCCATGCCTACACTATGAAAATTACGACATCTACGTTCCCCATCACCCATACAGACCTGCTCAGTGCCCAGGCGGAAGTCCTTGGACCTAGAGAATCACAAGTCAAGTTCCCAGGGAAAAAAGGAAACTCGAAAATCGTTCATCTAGCGTTTCACGGTCTTGCCTTCATTCTCAGATATCGCTTGCTCGTCATTCTTCCGCTTTGCGCCGCTTGGGAGAAAGCCCGGGAAAGTTGTCGCTTTGGGCACGAGAGTTCTACTCGAGAATTCACCACGATATCCCTGAGATTTGGGCTCGCGAGCATGCGGCTTCCCAAACGCTTCCGGCCAGCCTTTCAAAATGCTGGGAAGAGCTTGGCTTACACCAAAGCCCTCAAAAATATTTTCCACTGATCTCCCTCCCTAGTAGCCCGAGACGCCGCTCAGTTGGTGGGCTCTCGAGTTCTACGCTTTTGTCGGTGATTCAAGCGAAAAGACGGAAAGGGCACGTCACAGGAACATGGGGCCGTCAAGACAGGGATTTCATCTGATATGGAGTAATGGAAGGATTCCCAAGACGACGGGACGGGAGTTTCCGCTCGGGAGCGCCCAAGTGAGTGTCCACTGTGAGGGTCTGCACTGACGTTGGATTGCTTCTTGTTCAGCCAATGGAAATATTGGTCTTCCACAGATGTGATGTGGCAGCAGGGTCAGGTGTTTTGAAGCAGGGTCAGGTGTTTTGAAGCAGGGTCAGGGTGTTCTGAAGCATGCTGCACCGGAGGTTATTCAGTGGATGTCGTCCAAAAATAGCACGGGCAGCTACCTCTGACCGGCGGCTCGGTAGGCTACCTACCTCTCTGGGGGGGGAGTCCGGGCAGTAGGGCCAAGCAGAGGAACGCGTGGGCGGCGATGCGGGTGTATGGGTTTCCTTCGGCAAGTGTGGGGAGATAGGTACCTCTGCTCTGAGCTCTGGTCGCGGGTTACGCCAAGGACCCACTGAAAACCGCAAAACACCGGGCGGGAAGTACCCCTGATCGATCGCAACACACACACGGTTGTTCGTGAGGGGCAGAAGAAAACAAAACATGCCTGGTGTCATTTGGGATGTTGTATGGGAGACACAAGGGATGGGGAAATGTTGTTCAAGAGGAAATGTGGGAAACAAGTGATGAGTGTCCTGCATTGGTGTATTTTAGGACCGCCTGAACGGAGCAAGCGGACCGACCATTTTGGCACCAGGGACAAGTGAGGAAAAGGAAAGGGTTTCGCGCAACGACGGTTAAGAAAATGAATCGGGATCAGATCTGACATTGAGCACCTGGGTCTTTGGAAAGAGCAAAGGGCGACTCCTACCCATCACCGTAGCGAGAAAACCTGCTGGTCAACAAGCCCTGTTCATTGATCGCCAAGGATCGTGAACAGCGAGCGCATTGCTTTGGTATCCTCGAGAGTTCTTCCCTCCTGGAAAACAACAGTCTATGGAAAAAAATATGAAAAAAAAGAACTGAAGACCATCTCTAAATAATTCGGCCAGTGGCTTGATGGTTCTTGTCGTCGCTCTTGCTTTTGTAATTGCTAGTTTGATCCCAATTAGCGATGTTTTCAAATTTTTTTTTTATTTTTTATTTTTTTTAAATTTTTTTTTTTCATCGGGCGAAAAGTTTGCGCGGTCGGTAGGTAGCCTTCAAAGTGTGAATTTCCTCATTGATTCAACAAGCCTTGTTAGATCAAGAGGCCTTTGTATAGAGACATACAATAAATATACAACAAGGCTTGTTATGCTCATGTTCCCGTCGCGGTATGTATAATTATGTAATCCAGGCGATTTTTACGTATCTTTATGCATCGTATTCGTGTGTGTAGGTGTTGCCCACACATTCACCACTTCACGTGAGGAGGGCTAGGGCTAACGGGTCAGGTGAAGAGGGAAAGATTTTTCAGCTGCTACAGAAATGTTAAGCCGATATGGAATCCGTCTGGCTCCCAAAGCGAACTTTCCGTGTGTGACACTTCCTTCTCGAGGCCTGGACCCACTTTCGAACGTGCAAAATGTATCTAGTAAGCAGACCACGGACATGCAGAACGGAATGTCACTGCAGCTTGGAACCTCTGGTGGGATGGGATCTGGCTGTTGCATTTGGCAGTCGATGGCGATGTATAAGAGGCAAGCGCATACACAAAGAAGCAACGTTTATGTAACATTCCAAGTACACATGTACAGACTACAGATACCTCTCCCTTCCGTGCTTCTTGAAGACTTCCCTCCGATTGGTTGGTGATGCATGTGCAATCGTCGGCCAATTATTTTCTAGGGCTCAACGTCACTTCCTCACTAACAATTTCCCGAGCCCCTTCAACTTCTCAATGCAATACCTTGACTACGCATCTCAACAATTTTTCAGACCTCACCTACATCATAGGAAGTGATGAACAAAGCTGGACAAGAGCTGTGCTGAACGTGGCTTCCCCCTCTCACATGCTTCAACGGTTGGCTGAAGGTGAGAGTTGAACCATTATAAAGCGCAAGCGCCAGGAAGCAGGAAGCGGGCATGGCAAAAAAAAAAAAAAAAAAAAAAGAAAGAAAAGCAGGCAACATGGCCTACCTCTTTCAGCAATCTGGTCATTCGAGGCAGGTAGCACCTTCTTGCCACATCAGCTACCAACACCCGTTCGACGACGCACCAGGCAACCTTGACTGAGGTGCAGTCTACGAGTGGCGCGGACCTCCCCCAAGTTCAAGTTTTCAAGCAATAGTTGCAGGTTGAGACCTCCGAGTACCGATCGTTCTCCAAGTGCTCTGAGCCGACACGTTCACATGTTCACGGGAGTCAACAATGGACCATGGTCTTTGCGAAACAGAAAGGAAAAAAAGTTTCATTTAAAGGAAACGGAAGTGCCACCACAGTAGGTGAGAGGCCAGCCATTCTGAACTACCTCTGTCTAGGTATCTATCTGATCGACCTGAATACCGTTAAAAAAATAATAAAAATAAAAATAAAATAAAAAAAATAAAATACAAAAAAACCCCCAGAAAAAAAACCCCCCCGAAAAGAGAAACCAAACAAACCCGAATATCCCCCCCCCCCCTCAAAAAAAACCAAAAAAAAACCAAAAAAAATCGGTAAAGACAGAATCCCGTGCTGTTTACCTAATCAATTTTCCCACGCGTTCTATTCGCCCGGTAAATGCACTCGTCGCCCCGAGAAGGACGAGGACGGACCCGCACAACCCTCACCACAAACACAAACACAAACAGGAACAGGAAAAGCAATAGAAACAGGCCGGACCTCAAGCTGGGCCCGGACCTGTGTCTGTTTCTGGGTCGCTTTCTGGGCTTGGTACTCCATGCCCCTGGACATCAACAGCTGCACATGACCCCTCCCTTCCTCGCTCGTCGGAATCCCTTTCCATTTCCTTTTCCCGTTCTTCTTCTCTAGTCTTGCCTCTCGCCGCTCCTCCTCCTCCTCCCTCTATCAAGACACCTTCTAGATCGCTCTCGTCGTCGTCGGGGTCGTCGGGGTCGTACCAGCTGGGTTTGTCTTGGTGCTTGATTAAATTTGTGCAGGGGGTCTTCTTTGCCAGGATTTCTTGCGCTGACAGGACGTGAGGTTGAGATTGAGGTTGAGGTTGAGGGTGAGGCTCGGGCTCCGGGGATGGGGATGGGGGTTCCTGGTGTTCTCGTGCCAGCATGACGCCATCGAGGGAAGTGCCCATTGATATTTCTACTTCTAAAGGTAGAGGTAGAGGGACCTGGTGGGTGGCCTGTGCCTGCTCCGAGGGAACTTGAGCGGGCTGGGGCACGGACACGGACGTCTCTGGTGCTCTCATGACCAGCTCCATGGAGCTGCTCATGGGCACCTCCCTCTCGATCGAAGGGATGGCGTCGTCCGGGCCGAAGGCCAGCTGGGTGGCCTGGCTTTGAGCGCGAGGCGCAAGGGGAGGGGAGAGGGAACGAGAAGGGAAACGGGAAAGAAAATGGAAATGGGGAGGAGAGGAAGGGGTCATCCGCCAAGGGGTACGTAAACGACGACCGTACACAGGTAGGTCCGTCCTCGCCAACCCAGCCATCCGACCCTCAGCGGTGTCGGAGTTGGCGGGCGGCCTCAAGACGCCGTTTTCCGCCTGCTGGCGGGCCCATGCCACACGGCCCGGTGATGGGGGTGGTTCCGCAGAGCGATGAGGAATTGCTCGTTGCTCTGTGCGGCCCCTCTCCTCCTCGAGCGACAGCGTGCCGCGATCACCGTCGGGAGTCGAGGGGCTCGAGTTGGCCCTCGAACTCCAATGGTCCACACTCACGGGAGTTGAGGGGCTCGAGTTTGCCCTCGAGCTCCAATGCTCCGAATTTACGGGACTGGAAGGTGGTGTGCGGGGCTCCATGGGACCGTCGCTGATGGTCGAGGAACTGTTGGCTGACATGTTGCTTGTGGAGTGGTGGACTTGGTTTGGAGACTGTCAGGGCCATATGTTTCAAAGTCTACGAGGGAGGGCGTGCAGTTATTACTACCTTTTGATGTGACTTCGGTGAAAGATAACAGGAAATGCTCTGGAATTGTCAACGTGTACGACTTGAAGAATTGACTTCAAGTGGTACTGATCAGATGTGGTAGACTTTAAAAGCTTCTGATTTGGTTAGATTGAGACAGTGACTGGTGTAGGTCTGGGTTGGAGATTGGCAACTAAGTCTTGCTGGAATGGATGTCTGATGTGATGAAGGAAAGAAGGAGAAAACCGAAGCAGTAGGCTAGTTGTCCTTAAGTACAAGTTCTTGGTCTTCATTCTGATTACCATACTCCAGTCGTCAGGGCTCGAAATCGCTATGTACGTCGCTTTAACAATGTGAAGTAAGCATTGCTGGAATCTCTCTCCCTGCCTCACTCAGCCGAGGCTGGCAGCTGCAAATGGCAAGTTGCAGTGAGTGGTGAAGCACACACAGAGGTATGCAGCAACGTAAGGTATACAGACCAATTGTACATATGATCACAGCTAGAACAGTTGTTCTGTTGTTTCAGATGGACCTGGAATGTACGGGCCGGTCGATCGCAACGACTCTTCGATGTTCTGGAGCATGTGAGGTCACCTACCTTAGCATGTCAGGTAGTTTCCATAGACGGCGACTGGCACTGGTCCTGTGGCAATAGTGACCTCCGTAATTTGCATTATGTCCTCAATGTTGCTGTGCATTTCTGGTGTCAAACACGCGTCTGCGGCTTTGGCTGGGTGCATACAGGCTCCTTGAATAAGGTAGACCCCGGGAAGCTTGGATCTGACTCGGCGTTTATAATCTAGAAACCGCTGTATGTACAGCTCTCTGTTAAGGTAGACCTACAGTGATGGTCAAAAATACTGTCACTCCCCACCCATATTTACTGCACCGTTGGGAGTGACAGTATTTCTTGACTGTCAGTTTGTGTATAGTCAGCCATGTGCTCTGGAACTCCGAAGCGGACTCCATGCAGTGGTTGAACGCCGGGGAAAACGGGCCATGCCAGGACGGTGAAGCAGTTGCTACGAGTTATTGTCCAATGAGCCTCTTCAAATATATTCCAGCAGGAGAATTGAGAAGACACTCCTTCGGATTCACGCAACGCACCTAAGGATCCTGCCATTGGCCATTGCCAGTCATGCATAATGTTCGTGAGTTTGTGATGGTCGTGCTACCGTATAATTTCGGTAGGTACATATTGAGGTTTTGAGGCCCAATTTGCGTTTAGGATCTGAGTTTTGGTAGAGTTTCTTGAACCCTGAAAACGTATCTCCCGAGATTATACGGAACTGGTGCGATTTAAAATGACGCAGTGCTTCCAAGGCCCGCAGGAGAGATTGGAGAGTTTCGAGATCGAAAGCGCCGCCGGTGTACCTCTGGTTTGTGCTGGCGTCGTGTACCTTGATGAGTCAATGTCACTGCGTGCTTGACAAGTAAACGGATCGTTCGACCAAAGCGTGTGCAATTCCTGATCATGCAAAATGAGCTGGCGGGTCTCTTCTTTTTTTGTCCTCGTACCTTGGCCAGCAGGTTAATTTGCGGCTTTTTTATGACTGATAACGGCCAATGCCTAATGCAATGAGCCTCGCGACTGCGTACGCCAATGAACCAAAACGAAAGCGCATTGGGGATGTATGTTACGTAAGAGACATCTTGGAGGTTGTGCTGTGAATATTTCACGTGCTAGACTGGCTGGGGCTTTCTCTCCGGTGGTGAGCGAAAACGACCCAGAGGACGAAGCCCGGAACCTATCCCGTCCGGTAGGAAAGGGTTCAGACGGTTATCCCAAAACTCATTTGGCAACATTCAGAGCCGCAGCACACCGTAGACTCAGTACCTATAGCACATTTCGTCACTGTCCTTCTGATATACTTCCGCAGGCGTAAAGTGTCATTGATAGGGTCCTCATTGACCGGCTTGTCCTTGAAGTCGGATGGGGCAGTCGTTCACCGATGTCTTCAGACGGCCAGTATTCCGCCGAACAGGCGGTCACATCGGCAGATCGCCGTAACTAGGGGCCCGGTGAGAGGTAGCCATGCATCCAGCTTTGATACCTCTGCATCCCCTCCACCTCCACGACTGGAACATACTACGCTGCCATGACGATACGTAGATATCCAGTCTCCCAGCTGTATGCTCGCTGTAATTGCTGAGTTCGCCACCCGACTTGAGTCAAGCTCAAGGCGCCCCGGGCAACTGCAGATCCTCAGCACAAGCAGAGTTTGGTTTGGGATAGCGAAATCTTTCTGTCTTCCAAACCTCGAGTCTCGACGCTACTTTCTGGAGATAGCCGTGGGTGTGTGGTTTGGTGAGATCTGTAGAAGCACGCAACACCCACTTCAGCCAACCTCACACCCACAGTTACTTTTGAATAAGCCAGAAGGCTCTCCAAGGTGCAAAGAGTCCGGATGTCAAGTCATGCATTGACACTGGCACCTGTAAGACGACTGACAAATCCCGGCATGTGTTAAACCTCATGTTGAACCTGAGGATGAGCCAGTCCGACTTCGTCGAGACCATCCGGGCTGGGGCACTTGTCATTAGCTTGTGCTTTCCTCGCAGGGTGCTATTTTGCCCCGCTGTTTGTATAGCGAATCGCGCTCTCGGAGACCTAAGGATTCAAGGTCAGGATTTTGCATCCATTCTTGTAGACCCGTCAAGTTTGAAACCTCGGAACATTTTGGCCCTCATACAGGAATATGTTGGGCATACTTCGGATTACGACCTAGGAGGTTTCACCTTTCAAGTAGCACAGTTAGTCCCGTGAGGAAACGGCTTGTAAATCACAACAATGACAATAAGCAAACTGGGGAGGGGATACTTCATGGTTGGCCACTTCATCTGCTAGCCTTTTCTACTGTGATCTGACTTCTTTTGGTAACCAAGATGGTGAAGCAGTGTTGAAGAATGGTGTGTTGGGGGGAACGGAAGCAATGAAAGAGAATGCAGTTATGTAGTGCAAGGAAGTGGAAAGCTCAGACAGTAAGTGAGAGCCCTAACAATGAGAGCCTTTGATCTGCCTGCCGGGCCGAAGTTGGGCATCTCAAGTGGTCTGTGTTGGCATTTTCCAATCGTTCAGAGGTACCTTGCCAATTTTCAGTGGATTCAGTCGACGCTCAAATATGGAAGGAGTCCCTGAGACCCGCCCCGAAGCCCAGGAGATGCCTCAGTGGAACTTTGTCAAAAAACGTCGGGATGTATTGTCACTCCCTTCCTTCCATTCTTGGCCGTGTTCATGGCTTCTCCTTGCTAGTCATGGGCAGGTGAGAAATGCAATCGCTACCCACATTGAATGCAGTCACGGACTCACGGTTGGCCATTGCCCGTGACAATGACTTTGAATCGTTACGACCTGTATTGTAGCGCGAACCAACACCTTTGTCGCAAATCCACCCAATCATCAATCTCGTCACTCATTGTCGCTTTCAGAGTTCCTGACGAGTCGCCTCCACCAAAATCGTCCGCCGACAACAGAATCGCCATGACAGTCACCGTCATACTTCCCCACCACTCATTTCACAAATTCGCAACCAAGACGAGGTGTCGTCGGCCAAAATCCCTTTCCCATTTCTTGGTCAAAGCTCCCTGCAGTACCTACCCAGCTGCTCGTCTGATCTCTCTACACCTAGCCGAAGATGCGCCCCGGCCCGCGGGGCCCTTAAGAGTCGAATGACGGACGCAAGTGGGAAAGCACTCCCAGGGCTGACCCAGTGGGGGAACGGGAGTTCGAGATGAAGATAATGATGCATTTAATTGCCGTGTTGTCACTGGTGCATTCGAGAAATTAGCCTCAATGGGACCCAAACGACGGCTCGAGTAAAGGATGATGGGGCTACACCCGAACAAGTAACAACACTTCGCCGTCGCCTACCAAGGCTTTAAAGACAATCCCGTCCACATCCAAGCCGCCGCTCAATTGTTTTTTGGAGATTCAGCTCGCAAATCCCAAGGAACAACTTGACCCAAACACCACATAGCCCAAAATGGAACAAGAGCTCGCAGAACTGAAGAAACAGGTACTCACCTTGCAAAAGGAGCTATCCCGGGTCTCCGGTCAGTCTCCAATATTCCCTTCCATCACCGCAAACCTCTAACAACCCCCCAGACGAGGCCGAGATCCGCAAAACACATCACAAATACGGCTATTACCTCGACAAATGCCTCTACAACGAAGTAGTCGACCTCTTCTCAAACCGCCCCGATACCTTCGTTGAGTTCCTCGGCTCACGCTATCTCGGCAAAGCCGGCGTCGAGCGGCTCTACAAGGGGCGGTTCGCCAAGACCTTCGTCGCCGGCCGCAACGGTCCCGTCCACGGGTTTCTTCTCGACCACATAATGATGCAAGACATCGTCGACGTCTCTCCCTCAGGCGACCACGCCTGGTGTCGCATGCGCGCCCTGATGCAAGCCGGCACTCATAACTCGATCGAGAAGGATTTCCCGATGGGACACCGGCAGTGGTGGGAAGGCGGCCTGTATGAGAATGAGTATGTGAAGGAAGACGGGGTATGGAAACTGTGGAGGTATAGATACTTCCCGTTTTGGCATGCGAATTTTGAAACGGGGTGGAGCAAGACCAAGCCGAATTATGTGCCGTGGCCGACGAGGACGTTTCCGGAGGATCCCACGGGTCCGGACGAGATTCTGGAGAGGAAGATGTTGTGGCCGGATACGAGGGTGGTGCCGTTTCATTATCCGCATCCGGTCACGGGGGAGAAGATCAAAGATGATGACTTGAGGGCGCCAAAGTATGGGGAGGGTGTGCAAGAGGGGTGTGAGGATCCATTGGTTTTGGAATTGCCTGGCGGAGGAAAGTGGGACGGTGCGGAGGAACGGGCGAGTAGGAAGGGGGAGAGGGTGTTGCCTGAGTTGGTGCAGGACGGGGCGGAGAAGTGAGTGTGCGGTAAAGGGCTGGATTCTGCAGGTCCAAGGTCAGTTTTCGTTCAGCTGTCGAGGCATGCAATCTAATGACACTCGCAGTTTCAACTCTTGCAAGTCAGGCTGATGACTCACCCTGAAGCCTGTATATGCACAGTGATGGCTTTGGACAAGTAGACCAAGAGGTCTTTCCAATGGAGGGAATTCAAACTCAACACATAAAGTTCGACGCCAATGCTCCGCCTTTCAAGTCAAAACGTGCCGTTGTGCGCTAGCCCGACTCGTTAGGCCAAGTTTGGGCACAGGTTGATTCGGATCGACATCCTGTTCCATTCCAGATTGTGTATAGAACGATTTTTGCCATCGTAGAAACTCGTGAAACCCGCCACCGTCCTTTCCCTGTAGGCGCTCAAAGGGGAAAAAGTACAACGGCGGGTTTCGGAGGTTCTACGGTATACGTGCAGCATGCCAGTGTATTTTCATGTCGAAGCCATCAAGCCACGGTAGATGCTCATGCAACAACATGTACAGGTAAAGCAAGGCGGGGAAATTCTGGCAATGATGTCACCGGGACAATCGTGGAGGAGTTCCCGCTCAGTCTCGGCTCACGGGGGTTGAGACCCCAGCCCATTCTGAGCCTGGCCGGGTCCGGCACAATCTGCGGCCGTCTCTTGTGAAGATTTGTTCCAGATCTATTGATAATTACGAGCAAGATATAATCAAGCTCCGAAGTTTCTTGTGAATGACGATTCCATCGCTTGGTCGGGTACGAGTGGTCAAAATATCAGCGTTTTGCTATTGGCACAGTGCTAGGACACTTGATCGTTATTCCGAATTCCGAATTCCGAATTCTAAAAACAATTAGAATGCTTAAAAAATACGTTTGCCCTCGGAAACCCTCAAATCCAAGGTATTTTCTGTTTGGGGTGCAAAAAGGTTCGGATGACTGCCGAGTGGCCGGGCACCTCTCCTGGGCCGTGTTCCGTGTCCCGTTCCCCTCCCCGACCGCGCCCCGCATTTGCCCGTTCCGCACACCTACGACCTGATTAGCCGGCAACCGCGAAACGACCCATGACGGTTTCATTGAACCATGGATAAAAAAGATCTGGAATAGAACCATTTGATTGAGCGTAAGTGCGGGGGCTCGTATTTTGTGGAAATAAACTCAAAACAATGTCCAGTCCACAGATCGTAGTCCCTATTCTCGGTAGTTACTGCCGAGAAGGGTGTCGCGCTCGTCCATTCCTTCGTTGAGATGGTTCGGACGAGGGCGAGAAAGGGGTAAATCTTAGCATCGTCCCGAAATCGTAAAACAGAAACGTGGCGATCCCCGTTGGTCTTTAACGACGGCCACCGGCAGTATCACGAGTAGCTCAAAGGTATGCCCAGCTTCGTTCTGGCCCCGCTCAACAACCTAAAAAGTATCCAAACAAACTACAAAGCATCCAGAGACCAGAGTGTCAAACAAGCCGGCCTCGCCATGGCGTCTAAACCATACACCACAACCCCCATCACCAACTTCCCCGACTCCTCCCCACCCTACGATGAAAACGGTCGCTTGGTTTCTCCACACCCCGTCCGCTTCCCTCCTACGCCCCCCTTCACAGGTTTCAACACCCCTCTCCGCGCTGCCCACCTCTATCTTCCCTATCTCCCCATTTCTGGCCAGATCCCCGCCGGACTAAACGGGACGTTTTATCGAGTCCAACCAGACAGGTTTTTTCCGCCGTTGTACGCGAATGATATACACTTTAATGGGGATGGGGCTGTTACTGCTATCAGCCTCAGCGGACCTAGGCTTACCGGACCTGCTGCCGGGCCTGCTACCAGCTCAAAAACATCAGCGACAGCGACAGGGTCAGAGACGACAGTGTCAGGGGCTACGGTGACAGAAGGGCATCCAGCAGTAAATCAAACAGGAACTGCATCACTACTCCACAAATACGTTCAAACCACCCGCCTAACCCTCGAACAACGCCACAACCGCGCTCTCTTCGGCTCCTACAGAAATCAATTCACCGACGACCCTCTCGTCCAAAACCAGGACATAGACAGGACGGTATCAAACACCAATGTCGTCTTTTGGCGGGGCCAGCTGCTAGCAATGAAAGAGGATGGGTTACCTGTTGCTATGGACCCAGAGACGCTTGAAACCAGACAGACGGGCTGGGACTTTGAGGGACAGGTGAGGAGTCCAACTTTTACGGCGCATCCTAAGTTGGTTCCCAAGGCAAAGGCAAGACATGCTCCTGCCAGTGTTCATGGAGAGGACGGAGCACAAAGAACTGGGAATGGCGTGAAGAATGAGAACGGCTCAGCCCAAGAAATGGTCTGCTTCGCCTACGAAGCCGGCGGCTCCGCAGGTGATTGTTCAGTCGACTGCGTAGTCTGGACGATCGACGAAGAGACAGGCAAGAAGCTTGGAGAGCGGTGGTTCAAGGCGCCCTTTGCTGGGATGATTCATGATTGCGGAGTATCTGAGAACTGGGTAGTTTTGCCCTTGACGCCGCTGAAGATGGACCTGGAGAGGATGAAAGCGGGAGGCGAGAAGTTTGCTTGGGATCCGGAGGAGGATCAGTGGTATGGTGTTGTTCCTAGAGATGGGAATGATGAGAGGGGAGAAGTGGTGTGGTTTAGGGGTGGTAACGGTATGTTCCTTTCTGTCCTTTCTTGTTGTGGCTACCGTGTTGGAATGATGGAGATGGCAGTGATGGAAATGATACTGACACAAAAGAAAGGCTTCCACGGCCACGTAGCAGGTTGCTATGAGCACCCGACCACAGGCGAAATAATCATCGACCTCACCGTCGCGGACAACAACGTCTTTTACTGGTTCCCGCCAGATCCCAAGGTTACTCCTTCCGCCTCTCCTTTGGACCCCAAAGTCCCGCTCAGACCTAACAAGCTCTCCTCGCCCACAATGCGCTGGATCATCAATCCCCACGCGGCCCGTTCCCCGTTCATTACTGCCACAGGAGACACCATTCTCGTGGCAGACGCCCGTCTCACGCCGGCAGTGGTCTGGCCTACAAATGGCGAGTTCTCCCGTATTGACGAGCGGTACATCACCAAACCGTACAGACACTTCTGGCAAGCGGTCATTGATACTAGCAGGCCTTATGACTTTGAGAAATGCGGGCCACCGGCTGGTGGGTTGTTCAATTGTTTGGGACACTTCACTTGGTCTTATGAACATTTCCATTCCTCCCCGGGGGCTTTGGGGTCAGACCCTTCAGCGGTTACTCCACCTTCAGTTCCAAATGGAAAGAGCAACGGAGTTGGTCCAGACGTACCTGCACCTTCCCATTCCACCCACACCAACCCCTCTACCCCCTCCCCCTCACCCTCCTCATTGAGCCCCTACGGCACGTCAGACATCTACCACGCCTCCCCAACAACCACTTTCCAAGAACCTACCTTCATTCCCTCCCCAGGTAGCAAGCAGGAAGGAAAAGGATACATCATAGCCCTTCTAAGCCACCTCGACCAGCTGCGCAACGACGTAGTCATCTTCGACGCTTTGAATCTGCGACAAGGGCCGGTGGCCGTGATTCATTTGCCGATGAAGTTGAAGTTGGGGTTACATGGGAATTGGATGGAGAGAGCAGAGAGTGAGGGGTGGAAGAGAAGGTTGGGTTTGGAGCCTTCGGGTACTGCTGCCGAGAGGGGAAGGCAGGCGGAGGAGGGGAGAGCGGTGCTGACGGGAGGAAAGTTGGCTAGGCGAAGCGGGGGTGCCCCTGTGAGACACGGTGTTGTTGGAAGGACAAACCGAAGGTGTGAGTGAGGAAGGTGAGAGGACCAATTCGAATGGAACGGAGGTTGGAGACACGGAGATGTCCGCCAAGTGGTGGTACATGTGCGGTCGAGAAATAGCTTTGGAAACTTGCACCAATGAAAATGTGAACGACATCCCGATTGGGCAAGTCCCAGTTGTTTCTTTTGTAAAGCGTGGTATGTTTCCATCGTTATGGTAACTAACCCAAATATCGAAGTTTGTTGCAGGTAGTTGACGATCTTACAGACGTCGCCGAAAAAAGCCATCTGTGATACGGATCGACTGTCTTGTAAACAAAGAGTAGAAGAATCAAAAAAGAGTAAAAAAAAGAAGAAACATTAGGAATGTCAACAACGCAAAAGACAGAACAAGGAGAAAATGGGAAAAAAAGAGAAAAAAGACTGGGGCCACCCGGGGATTGAACCCGGGACCTCTCGCAAGAATGCTCAGGATTGAACCCTAAGCGAGAATCATACCACTAGACCAGCGGCCCTTGTTATTGGATGTTTTTAGTGCACGGACCTTGTACTTGTGAAGTGCAGTTCTCTTCTCGTCGGCTGGCAGAATTTCAGGGATCGTCATCATTGCCGGCGTCCATCGCCGACGTTTATCGTCAAACCATCGGGTGTGGCAATTCTTGTAAGCAATGGAAAAAACTCGGAGGATTGGACTGAGAACGGTAGAAAACTAATTTCTTAGTTGCACAGTACCACACGACGCAATTGGACTGGTCCTTTGGTGACGTAACAGGTTGAAAATGCAAGTTGCGCGAGGCGCGAGTCGACAAAGTCGTTGCTTCCAGAGGGCCGCAAAGTGTGATGATTACTACCCGACATTAGTACCTTATGTCCCTGGCCAGTTCTCGTGTCTGGAGAGAATGATGCGTCCCCCGAAAATGCAAATTGAGAATGGAAAGAGCGACTCACGTTATCACCCGCCGAGCGCGGTGGGCGACGACTGGAGTGACGAATACAACACAGTTTTTGGCTGTTCAACTCTTCCTCGTATTCTTCTCCCAGAACATCTACTTTTAACTATCGATCCATTATCATGGTCTTTTCCACACCAATCGTCCCATATCGCCCTTTTCTTCGGACCGAGGCCATCACCAGTTTGTTACGATCCAATCGTTGAGCCTCATGTAAGCTAGATAGATTGACCAATCAGATAGGACCCGGGGTTGAAGACCAGTATATAAGAAGGCCTCCCGGCCTTCGTTATACCTGGTTCTTCAGCAAGCAATAGCTATCACAACCTACCAGTACCTTTTGGCTACTACTCCGTTACTCTATTGTTCTATCCCAGCGATAATACTCCTGTGCTTGTAACGGTTCGCCACACAGTTCACCACCTGCCTACCACGACAACCCGTATCTTGCACGATATCGCAGAACTCCTCAATTATCCACACTATCACTGGCCCCGAAGTGCGCTTCAATTGAACTCAACCCGGCATCACGGTTACAGGTCCCATTGAGAAGCGAGCAAGCGAATCCCCTCGGAAGAAGGAACCTGCACCAGACAAACATACATGACGACCAATCCAGAAAAACACGAAGAAGGACGCCAGTCGATGCGTTGTACCCTGCTACAATACACGATGCGTCTCCTCCAATGTCTGACCCATATCCCTTGTTTGCCATGTGCTGCCTGGTCGCCGTCCGTACCTCGACAGTCTGTGCTCTCGATCCCGCGGCTATGCTCGTCCGGCTCCCGCTCATCATCCTTCTTTTCAAAGCTGTCAGGAGCATGGAGGGCGCAGTAGAAAAACAATGTCACCGATACCCACAGAGTAATCAGGTACGCCAACGCCGCAAAAAGGCCCGGCTGTGACTCCTCCGTGGTATCTGACCACAACGCCTCAAAAATTGGGCCGGTCAAAAGGCAAAACAAACCTGCCATATAAAACATGGCTGCATACGAGGTAAACATTACTGGACAATGCCAAACAAATATTGAGCGCCAGTTTAACTTCCATTGCTCCGATTCAACCTCTGTCGCCGCCTCACTGCTCTTTGACAGGGTATCAGCATTCGCTTCGGCAGGTATTTTGCCTCCGCCTTCTTCGACAGATTCAGCTGGGGGTAGCAGCTTTCCATGAGATTTGGCGGCTTGTGCCTCAATGTCTCTGGCAAGATATTCACTGCTGTCGTTGCCGTGCGGGATCGCTGCAATATCTGTTGCTGGATCAGATTCAGATTTAATCTCCGTGCTCGGTGTCACTATCTTGGTCAACATTTGGAGAAGATGGCGGCGTATGACTCCCGTCCCGGCCGGTGTATCATGGATTGGAATGTTTCCTGTTCGTCTGGGACTGATGATATTGCTGGGACCGATGATGGACAGATGGGAGAGCTGATTTGAAGCAAGAAAGATGTCGGAAATGCTCAGCACCAGCGATGCATACCAGAAAGCATGGCATGACCAGTGCGCATCGGGCACGTTTGGCCACGAAAATGATGCTGTAAGTACGGCCGTCAGGACGGTTGACTAGCAGGTGTAAATAATACGAGAAATCAGTCTTGAATGAACGTTCAGTAGACCGAGACAGATAAGTATCTATATGTGTACGGAAGAGAATAGAGATGCCACAAACCGCTACTGCCACGAACTGTAGCTCCTCCCTTTTGCGTGTCCGCCACGCCATAACGATAAGCCATAGCTGTGCCCGGTTGGGGCTGCCAATGTCGAAGCCCTCTGATGCGAGTTATCTCATTCTTCGTGCTGAAAGCATAGTATTATAGGTGAATAGACGATGCGGCCCAATAACGAATTGATCGAGAAATTCCCACAGACTTGAATCCTTCGCTTCCCCGGGGAAACTTGGAGTTGGAGATGCAGGAGACCGTCATGAAATGAGAACTGATCCTTGGGGAAGACCTTGGGAGGATATGTCCAGAATGCACAGTATAAAAGAGGTTTGTGGAGAATGAAATATGAATACAAAACACACGAGCTGGACAGTTGAATAACACTGAAGGGCAACAGTACCATAGGAGAGAGGTCTTGCGCGAGTAAAAGAACATACGGAGTACACCGTCTTTCCTTTGGCGAGACTGAAAAGATTAAACGTCGGTATAGGAGAGATTCATTATTCCTACTATCGCTTCTGTATCAAAACACCCATTAACCAGATTAAGTACCTGTAGAAAACTACATCTCTATCCCCATCAATTTGAAGGTCTTGCTTAACTTCCGCCTTGAAGTTCCATTCAAGCTAACACATATCCTCCTCAACACCCTGCCCCCTTCCCTGGGAAGTACAAAATCACGCCAACCCAACCTCAACATTCTTCCCCTTAACACTCTTCCACTCCACCAACAGCGCCCCAAAGATACTCACCACCGCCATCGCCACAAACACCATAAACACGTCCGTCAGGGCATTATTATACGCCAGCGTGACTCCGGGCAGGATACTCTTATCCACCGTCTTCTGCACGCTCGTCGCGCCCAGCAGCAGGATATCCTTGGCGTTCCCAAACCCCGGCGCCAGCTCGCCGACGTACTGCACCAGCTTATTGGCAAACACGTTCTGCGCGATACTCACAAAGAGCGCGCCGCCGAGGGTCTGCATGAACACCATCAGCGCGGTGCCGATGGAGACGTCTTTTATTTCCAGGACGGTTTGCACGGCCATTAGACTCTGTTGGAGACCCATGCCTAGCCCGGCGCCGACGAGGATCTGGTAGCCGATCCATTTACCGGATGCGGTGTCGGGTTGGAAGGTTGTCAAAAGGCCGTAGCCAATGCTGGAGATGACGGAGCAGAGGATCATGAAGGGAGTGTAGTAGCCTAGGGTGGAGACGAGACCGCCTGCTACTACCGACAGGATCACGGTGGAAAGAAGCATGGGGAGGTTCATGATTCCTGATTTTACGGCGGTGGCGCCCTTGACGGCCTGGAACCAGATGGGGAGGTAGTAAACCGAGCCCATGAAGGCGGCGCCCAAGGAGAAGGAGAAAATGGTGGCGGCCCAGACGGAGCGTTTCTTGATGATCCGCGGAGGCACGGTGCCTTCGTCTTGCATCTTGAACTGGATAAAGATGAAGGCGGTAATCAAGACGCCGAAGAGGACAAAGAGGAAGATGATGCGCCAGCTGTCCCACTCGTAAGTGGTGCCGCCCCATTGGAGGGCGAGCAGGAGGCAGACGATGGCGGGCATGAATACCGCTGTGCCGTAGGGTCGAACTGCATGATGGTTTTGGCCCAGGTTACTTCGGTGGGTCTCTCGCGCTGCGGGTCGGGGAAGAAGAAACCGATGACGACCATGGTGACGGCGCCGATGGGCAGGTTGATGTAAAAGCACCAGCGCCAGGTAACTTGATCTGTGAAGGCGCCACCGAGGAGCGGGCCGGAGACGGATGCGATGCCGTACATGGAGCCGATGAAGCCGGTGTATATGGGCCGCTTTTCGAGGGGCACGGCATAGGCGAGAATGATCAGGGCGCCGGAGAAGATACCGGCGGAACCGATGCCGGCGATGGCACGACCAATGATTAGCGTGGTAGAGTTGTTGGCTACGCCGCAGATCAGGGAGCCGACCTCGAAGATGAAGATGGCGATGAGGAAGACCCATTTTAGAGAGAAGAAGGTGTAGAAGCGCCCGAAGAGGAGTTGGAGCGCGGCGGTGGTAAGGAGGTAGGCTACATGCGGATCTCGTCAGTAATTGTTCGCTAGTCTGAGTGGGGAGGGAGAAAAGGACATACCACTCCCATACCAACCAACATCCGGCAAACTGTGGAACTGATCCGTGATCTTGGGAATGGCCGTCGCGATGATAGAGTTATCTGCTTCTTGTTAGCGTCCCCATATTCTTTCACCTGGCAGAAGCAAGGATGGAGAAAACTCACCGAGAGCCATCAAGAAGACAGCCAAACATAACGCCATGGTAATCATGCCCAGCTTCAGGCCAGTTGGGTATTCTACTCCATCCTCCCGTACCGTAGTCGCGTGACTCTTTTGTGTGGTATTGGAATTCTTCTGGGTCAACTCATTCGCCTGTTGCTTCTCTGGGTCTGTCGAGTCGATAGTCCGTCCGCCATCTGTGTCCGAGAGGACTTCGTTGTTGTTGTTGTTGTTGTTGTTGTATCCCTCGCTCTCTGCTATTGTTGGTGCCTTTGACTCTGACTCGCCACTTGCTGTTGGGACTGCTAGGTTGTCGCCTTTAGCGACATCCTTTTTTGTGCCGGCCATTAGGGATTGCTAGGTGTGGTCCTGTTTGAGTTCCTTGTGGGTGACAGTCCGGGGGAATGAATAAGCGGAGTTGGTCTAGATCTGGGGAGTTAGTGAACCGGGGAGGTATATGTTTGACGAGGAAAAGAAGATAGAAACAGAGGTGGACGATTCGGAACCCTCAGTCCCAGGTCAAAGGATTGTGATATACGCCTCAAGGCCACCAAAGCCACCAAGCCCATGTATGTTACCAGTCGTAATCCGCGGGACCAATGAGTGAGCTTCGGAGATATCTTACCAACCAGGCGGTAATCCCAAGTTGCAACAAACGGTCCTATTAGGTCGCTGATGCCGTCTGTAGGTGAGATGGACCTTGTTCTATCGGGTTCCCTGTCGGTGTCAACCTGCCAGAATGGGTTCGGGAATGCACCGTCGAGTCATGACATGGAAGGCTGAGAAGGAATGGGTGAACTTACCACGCCGAGTCCGTTGCGCTAATTGTTTTGTAAGATTCCGCCCTTAGTTCCTTTGCTATGCTTGCCAAGTGTAATATGTGGCGGCGGAGCTGCCATCCGGGTTCTTCTGGATGATTGGGTTTTGGCTCTTTGCTTTGGAGGTAGATGATTGTGGTCGCTTTGCGTGCCCCGCGGGAATCCGTTCCAGAATGTAGTTTTTGGGGCGCCGAGAGCTAAAGGTCGTGGGATTGAATCTTTGCTGGGTGAGTGAAGGGAATTTTGGGACTCAATCAAACAGGAGCTTCAATTCAATCTCGTCTGTCGTCCCAACCTTAACCAGCTCTGCGGCTGATTCGAGGAGGAACGGTTCAGTTGGTATCATCCCACCCGGCGAAATGTGACCGGGGCGTGTTCGATGCACGATTGCTTGTTACCGGCGTTTTGGTTGCTTGCGGTGTGCTTGGAGCATGCATTTTGCCAGCATTTTGTACATTTGCACTTTGTTTGTTATGGTCTTTATCTGAATTGTGCCCAACGTGCGCAGGCATTTGACCACTTCAGTCATGTAAGAGTTAACTAGTGTTAAGGGTAGGTACATCTAAGATGCAAAGGCACGTACCAGCACCTACCCGACCCATCTCCTGCACCGCATTTGTCATCTTCTTTCCCGCCAAGCTCTTCGGCCAGCCTCCAGAAGAAATCCTTTATCTCGTTCATCCCATCCCGCCAAACGGGACGAAAGACTCCTAGGAGTAACTCATCTTGTTGAGTGCGCCATCAAGCCCGCTTCGTTGACAACCACCAGTCGCTTTAACAATTGAACCGTCTCCGGCCGACGACGAGAACTTTTTACTGGACCGCTCGCATTGTTTGCTTACCTTAGCTATCCCCCCTCGGTCCGCCCGTTGGTTCGGCCAAAACCCGACCCGGATTGGGAATTCCCGGATTGGGACTTCCATTGGTGTGCCGTGACCTATAGGGGATATCGCATCATTTCTTTGTCAACAGAATCGAACAAATACCCTGGTCGAACGTCGAAATAGCGATTCCAAACCCAACTGAACATCGCTGACAGCGGCCGCTAGCCTGTATTGACCGCATCGACCGCATCCAGAAACGATTTCTCCCGACACCGTTTCTGTTTCCGAGCCTCATCGGTGCCTACAACCATGAAAGCCCATGAGTCAGTGTCCGCGTTGTCCCACAGTCCCACCGAACAAGATGCACGTAAGATTGACTCCGGCGCCACATATCATATCCAACCAACAACCACCATCCACTACCACCACCCAAAGCGCAACCTAATCGCAGTTACCAGATCGCATTTCGAGTGGTCAGACGCACAAATGCAGGGTACGTTGCAATCAAAGCGGGAACTAAAAGTCAGTGCTACTGCTGCGCCCTTTTGTCATTCCTGACAGGACGGTACCACGAGTTCACGACGCCAAGGCTGCGGTGGTGACGACGACGACTTGCGCAATTTTTCCCTACAAGCCTTGTTTGATGAACTCATTCGACTACTTTTGGCAATGTCTGTTGGGTCAGTGCCCGTCCGATTTGGATGTGTTAGGAGTTAACATGCTGAGTTGTTTCCCTGAAATCACCGGAATCACCAGCCGCATTCGAAGGACTCGGGACTTGGTCCTCAACTAAGTGGTCACCGTTCCTCGATATCCGGTCGCCGCGTATAAGAACCAGTGGGAAGACCTTCCAAGTCTTGTTGACTCTTGAGTTGAGGGGAGTAAATCCGAGCAATGAAATCTAACCGGCGTGGACTGACACAAACAACCAAGCTGGAAGTTGTTTCACTTTTTGCAATCGCCTGGTTTGTACAGCAACGCCGAGTACTTTCCTTCTCCTTCCCAATTCCCAACCATTTCTCTTTTCCGATTCCCTTCCTCGGAGTCTTCCCTCGGGGACCGACATGTCGATTGCTCGCCAAGCTCCACTGCATTACATTAGGTTAGTCTCAGGTAAAGAAAACCACATGGCTGGAATTGATCCAGAATGGTGATTCAGAACAATTATGAATGACTCCTCCCCGTCTCCCCGTCTCCCCTTCGAATCCTCTGATTCGGCGTATGTACAGCATCCGGCATGTCTTGGCTACCCAGACAAGACAAGACAAGACAACCTTATTGACTGCCGTGCAACATAGAACCCAGCACTACCAGTACCCATATCGCCGATAAATAAAGGGATCCCGTCTCTGACAGTCTGACTCCCGCGGCGTCTCGGCGTCTCATCAGAGAATGACAGAAGGTACGTATGTACCTGTTCCAGTCTCCACCCGTCGCTAATACCGAATGGGACTGGTTGGCCCTGGTCTTTCAGATTTTCAGGCTTCAGGGGGCATTAACACCGAACCCTTGGGGGCGGGCCGCTAACACCGACTGGTGACTCGGTTATTTGGTCCCATCGTTACCTCTAGGTACTTAATCCCGAAGCTCTTTTCCTTTCCTGTAAGCTGCATTTACAGGTGAAATCGGTTGTGGCTTCAAGACGTGGCTTACCTTCTTATAATTGAAATTGTCTTTCCAGGACGTAAGACCAGCCCAGCCGCATTGACATTAAAAAAAAAGAAAAAAAAGAAAAAGGAGTTAATGTTACGAACCATGAGCGAGGAACACGGGCCAACCAAGCCACCGGTACACAACAGCCACATGAAGGCTGGGCAGTGTAACCATGACAAGGAAGGAAGGCTCATGAAGGTAGGCCAGGCTCATAGAGACGAGCCAGGCTCACGAAGATGAGCCAGCCCATAGGCAGTGAGCCAGCACTAAGGGGTTCACGTCTACGTGGACATCCGGAAACAGATATCTCGCAGAGGGCAAGCAGGTATAAAGGGACTACGGGAGAATTCAGATTGTCAGATAGTTCGACAGTAGTCAATAGATCATTATCACCGAGACCAGTATTACGAACATACTTGTTGTGAACCTTTTGGCTTCACCGAACCGCACTGATAGTTACTACCTTCAGCTATCTCATTTAGACAAATCAGACTGTCGTTCGTCACAGTTAATAATAATGGAGAGCTAATAATGTAGGGATAAAAAAAAAAGCAAAAAAAAGCAAAAAAAAAAAAAAAAAAAAAAAAAAGGTCAGCTGCCCTACTCACGGTCGAGCTCGGAACGTTCAGTTGGAGTGAGTGAGGCTTGGCCTACGAAACTACCCACGCAGTTTCTGGACCCCAACGCGCTACTACCTTAGGTAGGCTACTGAGTGGACCGTGGAGAAAGGTTTAGAATTTGTTGCTTATATGGCCCTAATAAAAGTACAGAGCCTGCTACTGGAAACCTAGCTGGGAGCCGTGCCCCCCCGGTCTCCCGTCTGCCCCCGCTGTCGGTAGAGGTACCTCTAAGTGAGTGTCACGTGGCAGTCCCGTCGTCGCCCACTACCTTACCTCTAGAGGTACCTGTAGGTTCTGCGGCAGATCTGCCCTTCGGTGCTGTACTAAGGTATATCTGTTTTAAGTCGGGGGTGTTCTCCCTCCTATGCCGTGATTGTCATGGATCCAAAGGGTCCCGTCCCGAATCCTGATGGATGATAAGTAGTGTTAAGACACTGGCGCTCTCTTCTGCGTGGTACATACAGTGTGATCACACTAAAACAGACTAACAGTGCAACCGGAGATAGCAGGGGACCGTTCCCAGGTTGTTAACTCCATTATCTCCACCCACGGCACTAAGCCTTTAGCGTATTCGCCCCATGTCTTTCTTGGCAAGCTTATTCCAACCACTCCTCTTCCTCTTCCCCTTCCTGTCCTCGCTGTCGTCTCGATGCTGGACCTGAAAACAAACCTGAAAACAAGACAAGACGAACTACTCCGAAACGAAGTACCGCATCCCCTCAGGGAATTTTGGCTTAGCTAAACAGGGGTATAACTGGCTTTCGACCGTTGTGTGGGTGAGCTGATTCGGGTCGCAGGGTCTTCTCGGGAACAGTCCAGGTAACATGATTGGCTTTAAGCAAAACCAAATTCCCTGAGTGGATGCGCTACCTATTCTCTATTGATTGCGAGGCAGAAGTAAAGAAGAGAGTGGAAGCACCGCAGTCCGGCTTGAATGCAGGAAGCTGATAGTGTTGGATAGCGTCTGCCCTCGACCTAATTTGACACTGGTGTGGGAGAATGGCTTTCGTCCATCCAGCACTTGAAGAACGGCTGATATGAAGTCGTTTGACATCATGATGCTGACTGATACAGACTTCAAAACCCTATGCACATCTCACAGGAAGCAAGAAGCAAATGCAGGCAAGAAGCAAAGGTAGAGCCAGAAGGTGGGGTCCTTACAAGAATAACTGATCAGCAGCAAGGAGACAACAATTGTAAGACGTCCATTTTATTGGGAAATTTTCTTATCACTCTGCCACCCGATTGTGCTAGTACACTGGAAGGACCAAGAAGAATTCCATACAAATACATCAAAGAATTCCATCGGTGACATGAAGGTTGGATGAAGAAAATAATCGCACTCTCCAAGCCTTCTATGAAAAACACAACCATGACGCCTGTCTTAAACCCAGAATAACCCTGCTAACCATGCGTTTGATATGTGAAAGAAAAGATAAAAAAGTTCAAAGGGAGCAGGATAATAAACTTTTCAACAGACTAGTATGATAACTCAAACAGAAAGAAGGCCAGTGTGTCTCTCCAACCAACTGTTTGGATTTTTCCAGGCCCTCAAAGCTCGAGCATGTTCTGCTCAATCCCCCATTCCTTAGCAAGGTGTCTAGTTCTCACATGAGGGCTTGGTCGGCGTGGCTCGTCCTCTTCATCAATAGCTTTGGTAGAAGCGGGTGTGAAGTTGCGAGCGCGCTTCATATTTCCATTCCCGTTTCCACTCCCTGAGGCAGCATCATTTCGATTGTCATTTACGTTGCCTTGTCCGCTTCCAAGGCCAGCGTTGAGAGAGCTCTCGGTCCGACTGGCAAAGGGGGTGGGGCCGGGCGGCGGGTTGGAAGTGGGATTTGTAGAAAAGCTGGTAGGCGAGTTCATGGTCAGGTAGGGTGACAAATGGGAGGAAAGGCTGGAGGGTGGAGCAGAAGGAAGGCCAGAAGATAGGCCAGAAGGTAAGCCAGAAGTAAGACCGGGAGGAAAGCCGGGAGGGTTGGGACATGAAGTATGACCGCCATACATGTTAGAGCTGGACCCAAATTCGGCCTGTCTCGGACTATTCTGATGGCTCTCTGCGACCGAGAACATGCTTTGCAAACTGGGAGAGTCGCTTGAGCTTCCGGCGCCGTCCATGGAGGAGACCATTTGGGACAAGTTGGATGCGATGGGACACTGGGAGTAAGCCGGCTGTGAGAACTTGCGAACGTCGCTATGGTCTGCAGAGGGGGTCGAGTAAGCTGAGGAAGGGTTGGAACCCGAGATCGTAAGGAAGCGGTTCTCCTTACGTGACTTGAAATCCGAAGACGGGAGAGGTATCTGATGAGGCTGAAGCGGAAGCGGCATCGGCTGGTTCAAGAGAGTGTTGGTCAAGCAGGAAGCCATGTCAGGGGGGATGGACGGCATATGGGTAGACATGGAGGGGAAATCGACTCCTGTAGTCATATCTTCAGTACGAGGAGGAAGTGTTGTCGGGGTATTCGTTGGCACCTTCATGCTCGTAGGATGCTCGTCATCCATGCTATGTCCAGAAACATGCATAACCTCGGGCTGGTCGCGATTGTGGCCATCGCCGTAGTCGGGCATGGTTTCATCGCTACTCTGCTGCTGGGTGCCCCGTCGCATACCAGATTGCCACGAACTGTTGCCCATTGAGCCAACCCAGTTCATATAGGAAGGCTCGGTGAACGGATCGGGATAGGAAAGCGACGAGCCAGAGCCAGTGTTGGTTCCTCGTGGTGCGTAGGGCATCTGAAGAGTCTGTGTGCCCCCGTAGCTGGTGGTAGGCGGTTGGGGCTGAAATACGCCGTGGGTCATGATCGGAGTTGGGAAGCTTGCTGGACTTTGACTGCTTTTCTTTGCTCTCTGGGGGGAGTGCGTGTGGGAGTTGATGCCATCGTTGGGATGATATGTTGGGACGGGAACATTCGAGATGTAGGTCGGGGTACGCCACATGGATGGGTTGGGCCAGGCAATGGAGTTGTTCTCCAAAAGTTCTGAGCATGTGAATTGTGGTCAGTTGTTGGTGACATTAGGCTGGAGGGCACCATGGTCTTACCTAGAGGCGCATGCTGGAAGGAAAAGGCGACAATATTCTTGACCCGCTCGAAGGGCACCGTCAGGGAGTCGCGTGGAAAGCCTTCGCTGATGAGAACTTTGATGCGGCCAAGGTCATCGCCAGGACTCCAGTGGCTCTCGTAGAGAAGCTCACGGCGGAAGGTAGGAAACTTGAGGCGTTCGCGTTCGCCCGTCTTGGTGTAGTCTTGATTCTTTGTTAGCGTGACATTATACACAAATGACTGTGCCTGCCGTGATGCTAACGAGTATTTTGGGAACGTACCAAAGGTGTCTGCGATCAGATGGGGACCGTTGACCTTTCGATCGAAGGCAGTCGAAGCGACTAAACGACCGTCGATGAATATGCGCGCCTCGAACTTGACAAAGTCGGTATGTCTGCTGTACGTCTTGGTAAACAGGCTAATATCGGGAGTTTTCCAGGCGTGCATCGAGATCTGGAATGGACTGCCGGCCGGAAGGCTTGGGATAAAGCAGGTCATGACAGGCAAGCCAGCCTGTCCGTGCATGTGAGCAAGCTCCTGGTCTGGAACAACATGGCACTGGACTTTGAACTCCTTGATTGGGATCTTGCCATCTCTGCCTGTAGGGAACAGAATCACGTCCCAGTCGTCGTAACGCATCGTATGATATGCCGTCGCAGCCCAACCGGTGTTGCAATGGAGAGAGACTGAATGTAGTAGCAATGTTGCTCGGAGCACTGGCAAGATATAATGGACAAGTAGAGCAAAGAAAAGAAGCAAAAAGACTCAGTACACAACAGACAAGCAAAAAGTGACGATGGTTGGCCACGAGAGTTGGAGTCGAAGGTTCAGTGCCAAGTGTAGATGGAGTGGATGATGAGGATGAAGTTCTCCTCTTCCCCTCCTGCTTGACCGCCTAGAGTACCTACCCATGTATCATGCCAGCGCCACAAGGTCCACAGCAATCTCGTGAGCAGCAGTTGGGCCTCGAGAAAGGGAGAGTGCTGTGGTCGTTCTTTCCGTTTGTGCGTCGATAACATCGGGTTATGCCTGGCTAGACCATGGGAAAATCCACAGATGGCCGGCATCAGAGATTCCTTGAAGGCCAGACTTGTGATGGTGATATCTCCTTCCATTGCCCGTTGGAGCTAATCGTAGGCGGGCGTTACGGTTGATAGAGTGAGGGTTCGGTCCCGAGTCAGTGGTCCACTTGTGACTTACACGGCAAATTGTGGAGTCATTACCCCAGATGAACTTGTACGAGTCATGATATTGCAGAGGGGACCTGGCCTGTTTTTGAGAAACCAAGCACCTCATTGGAAGCAGCAGCATGGTCGTGTGCACATGAGCGCACCTCCATATTTTCGGATCAAAATAATTTCTGTTGAAGCCTTCTGGTCAGCGATTGGAAGAGAGAAAATGGCAAGGTTAGTTCAAGACTGGATAGGATTGCAGGCACCGAGGAAAAGCAGAAATTGGACATCGCAACCGTATGATATCAGAAGCTCAGAACAAAAGGCAGCATTTGAAAGACGGAACAAGCAGTTCGACCGGCTGCACTCAGAGATGATCAATGACTGCTTCTCATAACTAACTCAACTCTATGACTTCCCCAGGTACCGTTCACCCCGGATGGAAGTAGTAGCAGCTACCTCTTATGTACACGGCGCATGCTCTGTTCTGTAGTTCTTCCCGTGTGTCTGTTTTCACGGGTCAGGATCACCCGACTGTCTTGCCTGTCGAGTGGAAATGTCAAAAGTCAGCACTGTCCAGTCCCATGTCTTGATCCACAAAAATGGAGGAAACTTTGAAGCCGTCTCCATCTTTCAGCCTGGGGAAGCTCCACTTACCCTGATAGCTCCCGAACCACCCAACTCCTTCAACAAACCGCCCTCGAACTCGCGGGGATACGAGACCTTGTCGGGATACGAGAGCTTGACGCCGTAGCAGAGGCCAAGGAAGGCAACAATGAAGGCACCAATCTGAGCAAGACCCTTGCCGGGAGAAATCCAGGTGTACTCGTATGGGGAAAACATGCCCAGGATATCGTGGTCTTCGTGCACGGGCTCGCCAAAGTTGCGACGCTCTTGAGGGTCCCACCATTCGGCGTAGGGATCGCGATGCTGGCGCTTGATGCGCGGGGGGTTGATGTAGCCGCCATTCTGCGCACAATCCATTCCGTCAGCCATCGTTTGCTTCATCTGCCTGGTCTGTCTGTCTGTCTGTCTGGCTGCCTCCTATCTCACTGCCTATTGGTATCATACCATCTCGGGGTCCTCAGCATCACTAAGGTGAGGATAATCAGAGTCGGGGTACTTTTCGACGATAATGCCTCCCCGGCCGGTCATCTGATCGGGCAAAAAGGTACGGCGTTGCTGGACAATGGGGGATCGGTTCGCGGCGAGCGCAACGAGGCGGGCGGGCGAGGCCCGTAGGATTCGGCGGGACAGCATCTGGATAGGTGTAAATCGTCAGTTAACGGCTCGAACTGGGTGTTGTCAATTGGCGCATGGCTACCTTGGCTTATGAGGGCCGCAATGCAGTCGTGATGCCGAGTTCGAATTGATTTGCGATCGGGGATCTTGACGTTGACGACAGACCAGACACCAGGCGCAATCTAAGGTGGTCAGTGCACAGAGCTTGTGGAGCTCCTGATTGGCTTGCAGGGGTGGGCCAAGAGGAAGGAGAAGATGACCCGAGGAATGGCCGCCCCGCATCAGAAGGCTCTTGGCCTTTGAAGCTGCACTAACAATTTCACAGTGGCATGCAGTGTCTCGCCCAGTGATGAGCTCCCCTTTTCATCGTCAGCGTCAGAGCTTCCCACTCTCGAACGCGTAGTGCACAGACCCTTAAATGGCACCTGCACGAAACACGGCAGCATCATTCGCCATCAGCAGAGGCCATCCTCCACTGTGACCATCCATCAGGCTGGCCGTGTTGGCTTGGTGTCCCGCTCAGTGCCGCTGCCGTTGATGGATTTTTTTTCGTCGGTTGGCAACTTTTTGCGATTTGCGGGCAACAGCCATTTTCTCGACATTTCCACGCTGCAGCCAGGCCTTCCCGTAGCCTGATCACGCCCAAACTCGGGCATGAGATAGTTCCAAGTCGTGCGGTTTCTCTGACGTTGTTTTGGTCTCATCAAATGCCCGTTTCGCAGAGATATCCGCCCCCATACCCCCCCGATAGGCGTGGCTGCTGTGACAGTGACCATGACTACTATGATGACCGACTCTGGCACCGCGTCTGAAAATGCGGGAGTTGATTCAACTATTGCAGACAACAACACCCCCGCCATTGTCAACGGCAACGGCAACGGCAACGACAACACCAGCCATAGCCATCATGACAACAATGACGATGACAAGAAGGACTCGAAAAGTACAGGCAACCATACCAAGACCAACGGCAACCATGTTGTCCCGCCCATCGATACCTCCCTTTCTACTCCGACTAAAAACACCACCAACAATGATGCCGGCTTCCTCGACCGCGACCTGTCGCCCCTGTCGTCCATCTCGTCCCCGCTGAGCGAACCCGAGAACTTCGACTTTGATTCCGAACCAATACCCTCGATCCTGTCCCCTCAACATCACCAGGATGCAATGTCGACGACCAGCGATCATACCCGCGACGGAGAGACCCCGGAGCTCGACGAAGATGGACAACCACCTGCCAAGCGACGCCGAGTGCGCGAGACAACACCCGACAGTCACAGTCGCAAACCAAAACTAGAGTCACCGCCATGGAAGAAGTTCGAAGCCGAAGGTCCGACTACAATCATCACCGAAGACGGTCGTCGCAAGTCTGGTCGCGTCAACCCCGTTTTGCTAGGCATAAAATCCAGCGACAAAAAGGTTATACGGAAAGCTATACAAACAAGTCCTGTCAGCAACAAGAGCAGCGCCGCCAGTTCGTCCAGGAAACCAGCGCTAGCAAGCAACAGCAGCAGCAAACATGCCCCCGTGAAGATGGCGCCGCCGCCGCCGCCGAAAGCTCCCGCGCGCAAATCTGCCACGACTCATGATACTAGAACCTCCGCATCCCGATCCCGGCGACGATCTACATCTCCCCGACGTCCTGCTACACCACCGAAACCCGCTGCGGTCGGCACGCGTCGGTCTACGCGCCAAGCCGTTCGAGCTTCCTACGATGATGGCCAGCTCTCTCCCGGTGCCTCACGCGCCACTCCACGTATCAAGCTTAAAGTTCGACCCCCATTGACCGTGATACCACTCGTCCATCCAAGCCAAGCCCATGTCCGTCCGAAGCTCGGTCCCAATTTTGAGGAATACTTTGCGCGCGCGCAAGGAATACCAGTGGAGGAGGGCGGACAGCAGATCCCCGATGAAGGGCCCGAATACACAGACGAGATGGCCCTCCAAGACGCCAAGATCATTCTACGGGTCGAAAAAGAGGTTGAGCCGGGGGGCTTACTCGCCCCAGACAGGTGCTCGGCGTTTGAGCCTGAGGCCGAGGAAGAGCCTCCACGGCAGTGGGCTCATCTCGACCATCTTACAAAGGCGATGACCAACTTCCGCAAGCTGATGTATCGAGAACAGCAGTTGCATGTGCAGGCAGCCAAGCGCATTGCCATTGCATGTGAAGCCGAGTGGAGACGCCGAAACCCCCAGCCCAAAACCGCCGAAGAAATCGAGCTGGAGGAGATCGAAGCATCCAAGGCCAAATGGCGCCAGGTTATCAAGGCCTTTGCTGGGACATGGGAGAATGTTAGGGTCGAGGTCAACAGGCGCCGCTTGGTGGAATGGGAAGCGGAGGAACAGCGCCGTGTCAAGGCCGCCCTGAATCAAGCAGTCAATCTTTCCGAACAAAAGCTACAGCAACGACAAGCGCAGGTTGACGGGGACGAAATCACAGACGAGGACGAGGATGAGGATGACGAGGACCTGGAAAGTGGCATGCCATCAGTGTTGGGCGACGACGAGGAAAGTGACGAGCACTCCGACCGAGGATCCGACGACATGTCCGACGAAGATGGCGAAAATGAAGACGAGGATAACATGTCCTCGTCCGAGGACGACGATGATAAGAAATCAGCTGCCTCTGACGAGGGCTTAACTCAAGAAGAGTTACGCGCTAAATACGCCGACCTGCCGACCTTGGATAAAGCTGGAGAAAACAATGATACAACAAAGGAGGTGGAAATGGTGGATGCTTTGGCTGCTGTCGATGGCAGCGCCGCGAATGGCGACGATACAAGTGATGAATCGGTAGACATGGACGACGATCTTGGATCTAGTGAGGAGGAGTCAGATGAAGATGAAGAGGATGGGGATGACGAGGAAGAGGAAGAGTCTGACGATGAGCCTGCTGGCTTGCTGGGGTTGTTCTTTGGAAAGTCAGAGTTGAAAAAGTTGAAAGAGGAGGCTGTGACTGAGGAGCCGTCGGCTGAAACCGCTGGGGATGTGAAAATGGTCGATGCTCCTCCTGTTGTTGCTGCGGAGCCCCAAGTTAACGGCCATACGGAGGAGCCACTGAAAACTAATGGCATCCATACTAATGAGCAGCGGGAAATATCTCGAACCGAGGATGCGGACGAGGAAGTGTCGTTACTGGAGATACCCACAGCAAACAACAAAGCAACAGAAAGTACTCAGACCACTACAGAGCCGGGCAGTGGAGTGGGAAAGAAGGAACCCTTTGTCAATGGTGTGCCTTTGAAGCAGCCTAATGGGATTGTACAATCCGAGAGCCATGCACTCCCATCGAAAGAGTCAGTTGAAGGAGCCGAAGACATAACGATGGACGATGCTCCACCAGCAGACAGCCTACAAAAGGATACTGTCTCGGCGCCGTTAATAGAGGCACCACCACCTAACCCGCGACATGATAGCCAGGAAACAGTGGCGGCTACTGACATGCAAAGCCAATCACAAACCCAATCACCAAAAACAGCTGATACCAAGCCCACAGACGTCGACACTCCCCACTCAGAAGAGCTGGCCGTCAGTGTGCAGAAACCCGACAGCAGACAACCCTCGCCTCAACCGACAACCCCAACAGTCAAGACCGAGATTCCGTTTCTCCTGCGTGGAACACTGCGTGAGTATCAGCATCATGGTCTGGACTGGCTTGCCGGGCTTTATGCCAATAACACCAATGGTATTCTGGCCGACGAAATGGGTCTAGGAAAGACTATCCAGACCATTGCATTGCTTGCGCACCTAGCATGCCATCACGAAGTCTGGGGACCACATCTGGTTATCGTGCCTACCAGTGTTATGCTCAACTGGGAGATGGAGTTCAAGAAATGGTGTCCCGGATTCAAGATCCTTACTTACTACGGCAACCAGGAAGAACGCAAGAGGAAACGCCAGGGATGGAACAACGACGATGTCTGGAACGTCTGCATTACCTCATATCAGATGGTCCTTCAGGATCAACAGGTGTTCAGGCGAAGACGCTGGCATTACATGATCCTCGATGAGGCCCATAACATCAAAAATTTCAAGTCGCAGCGCTGGCAAACACTACTCGGTTTCAACACCCAGGCTCGTTTGCTCTTGACAGGTACACCATTGCAAAACAACCTGACCGAATTGTGGTCGCTTCTCTACTTCCTAGCGCCACCAGAGAACGGCGAAGGCGGGTTCGTTGACCTCACCGAATTCCATAACTGGTTCGCTAGGCCCGAATCCCAGATCTTGGAAAGCGGTCGTGAGCAGCTGGACGATGAGGCGCGTGCCATCATTGCCAAGTTGCACAAGGTCCTTCGACCCTACCTTCTCCGTCGTCTCAAGGCGGATGTCGAGAAACAAATGCCGGCGAAGGTTGAACATGTCGAATTCTGTCGCCTTTCCAAACGTCAGCGAGAGTTGTACGATGGGTTCCTCTCCCGTTCTGATACCCGCGAGACCCTGCAGTCCGGCAACTACATGTCTATTATCAACTGTTTGATGCAGCTCCGAAAGGTCTGCAACCATCCCGACCTCTTCGTGGACCGGCCCATCATGACTTCGTTTCGCATGTCGCGGTCTGTGCCGGCCGACTACGAGTGGAAAGAGAAGTTCATCCGGAACAGGCTATTGGTTACGAAGCCCATGACTACTGTCAACTTGAGCTTCCTTAACATGATCCCGACCGAATACGAGGACTTGTCCAAGACACACACCGAGCGCATCGCGCAGCTCAGCTCCCATCGCATTCTGCTCGACCTGAGGGAGGCACAAAAGGTGCGCGCCAACAACGCCTACACAGCGCTGGATCCTGCTTCTGTCAAGTCCAACCTTGTGTATCTTGAAAGTGCCGCCAGATGGGGTCGCTTCGAAGAGCTGCAACACTGTGTCTACATTAACGCCCTTCGTCGCCAACAACGGCCCATCTATGGCAAGCGCTTGACTGAGTTCCTAACTCTTGACACCCATCTCCGACCATACAAGCCCCGACCCAGAGTCCCAGCTAAGATCATGTCTTGGTTCGAAGAAGATTCCTTCCTGTTACACAACGCCATTCCGACCCTCCAGCAACGCGCCGAATCCATGGAAATGACCATCACCAAATTCGCATGCGTTACACCAGCTGTCGTCACCGGTCCCGAGATGAACCGCTTCCTCCTCGGCGAGCGTGGCATCCAACTCTTCGAAGATCTGGACCTCAAGCTCTCGGCCCCCGTCAAATACGCTCCCTACATGCCACCCCAACCCCCACCAGACCCGTGGCATGAAGCCCGTATGCGCCTGACGATCCAATTCCCCGACAAGCGTCTCCTCCAGTACGACTGTGGCAAGCTCCAAGCGCTCGACAAGCTCCTCCGCAAACTCCAAGCCGGCGGCCACCGCGCCCTGATCTTCACGCAAATGACCAAAGTCCTCGACATCCTCGAGCAATTCCTCAACATCCACGGACACAAGTACCTGCGTCTCGACGGCGCCACCAAGGTCGAACAGCGGCAGATCCTCACCGACAGATTCAACCACGACCCGCGCATCCTCTGCTTCATCCTGTCCACCCGCTCCGGCGGCCTGGGCATCAACCTCACGGGCGCCGACACCGTCATCTTCTACGACCAGGACTGGAATCCAGCCATGGACAAGCAATGCCAAGATCGCTGTCATCGCATCGGTCAAACCCGCGATGTGCACATCTACAGACTGGTATCGGAACACACCATCGAAGCGAACATCCTCCGAAAAGCTAGTCAGAAACAGATGCTCGACGACGTGGTTATCCAGGAGGGAGAGTTTACTACTGATTACTTCAACCGACTTTCAGTCCGCGACGTGCTAGGGTCAAATGGGGAGGTGATAGCCAGCAACGAGGACGACGTAGCTGCCAATCTGGCTATGGATCGCGTGCTGGGCGGTCCATCTACCGCCGCAGGGCCAGGAGATGATGGTGCAGCTGACGGCGCCGCCGTCCATCAACCTCCAGTTCGTAACGTAGGCAAAGTCCTCGAACTAGCTGAAGACAGGGAAGATGTCGATGCTGCGAAGGCGGCTGAGAAGGAAATCATGCAGGATGAAGCGGACTTTGGGGATACCTGTTCTACGAGGCCGGGAACACCGGGTGATACACTTGCTGATCTTGAAGGGTTGAATGGTGAAGCGGGGACAGGAACAGTAGGGGTGGAAGGAGGGAATGGGGAAGGGGAACAGGAGAAGGTGGTGGAGTATAACGCCTGGGGAGAACGGATTAGGAATATTGATGAGTATATGCTTGCTACTATGGCCAAAGCACTGGAGGGCACGCCGTTGGAGTTGCCGAGGGATCGGAGTAAGAAGGGGAGGGATAGGAATCGGAATCGGAATCGGAAGGGGAAGGATACGCGGAAGCGGTGATTGTGGGTGGGTGGTGTATGATAGAAGAAGGACGAGGGGGAGATGGAGGTATTTTGGATTGAGGTGAGCTGGGGTTGAGGTGGTGGTGAATAAAGTGCATGCATGCAGAGTTGTTTTCAGTCTTATATTCGAGCGAGTTTAGTTGCTCTTGGTGTTGTTGCCGTGGGAGAAGAAAGGTGTGTAAACAGGGAAATGGTTGAGCAGCGGTAGTTGTAGAATGATAGGGAGAAGAAGTGTATTATACTAGAACATCATACCATACCATACCTTACCTCTACTTTACTCTTTGGCAGGTACAGGAGAATGAAGGATCATGGTAGTATCAGATCTGGCGCGTAGATGGTGTTCATTCTCCCGGTGCAGCTTTTGAGGTCCTCCGATGTCGCCAACAAAGGTTTGTGGTGTCACAGGGTTGCCTATATTGGCTATATACTGTGGGTTTTTCCTTTGAAATCTACTTGAAAGAGTAATTAGTAGGTAGCCTTCACTTCTTGAGTTCCTGCTTCTCAGTTGCTTCTTAAGCTAGACGTGCACCGACCTTGAGACTCAACTGTCAAAGTCGGCCTGAGTGAGCACCCAACGTCGATGTCTTCGTTGTCCAGACGACGGAGAGAAGGAGTCTATCCATCCATCCACTCTGCCACGTGATGTTTGGAGAGCAACGTGAAAAATGCAAAAAGAATATTGAAGAAAAAAAATACAAGGCCCGTACCGGATTCGAACCGGTAGCTTCTATACTGTGAGCGAGGAAGGAAACGCGATCCAACAAGCGGATAGGATTAGTGTTGACTGTTACACCAACGGACTATATAGCAGGTAGGCAGGATTGGGGGATTATAAACCTTGCGGTAGGAATTCGGATTTTGGGGTTCGGAGTTGGGATGACATGAGATGAGATGAGATGCAGGTGAGAACGGGAGGTGAGGACGGTGAGGACGGTGAGGACGGTGAGGACGGTGAGGACGGGCAACCTGCTCGAGACCTGGAAGCTGGAGCGATCGCGAGGTGGGGCTGGTCAACAGTGAAGGAAGTGGGGTGTTAGTGCACTATTGCTTGGCCGGTGAGGGTATGAGTGAGTATGATAGTGCCGCATTTCTTTCCTCTGTGCTTGTTATCGATAAGGTCAGCTGGGCCATGAGCAGTTATTTGCGAGCGCGGTGCCTCTTTCCACGTTCCGCTTCAGTTTCCCCTTCTTCTCACTTTTCACGACTTGTCGCATTTTCTTTTCATCAGGTGTCTTGAGCGCGAAACTTGTTATTGACAATACCATCGCCGAGCCGTTCCGATGCATCATTACATTTCGCAGCCTTATCCAACCCATCGCGGAAACCGACAGGGACAGAGGGCTCCCGGCCTCCACCTCACAGGACCGACCAACAATCCGACCATTCAGCCAAGGGGGCAGTGCCTCCCTTTTTCTTTTCAAGCCTTTTGTCATCGCGGCTGACACGGGGTCTTTACTGTTAATGCAGTGGGTGAGACAACCCATAAGGCTGCATCCGCTGCATGACGGGAGACGATGCTTGTCATTTCCGCCCGGTCGGCCCCATGGGTCGCATTCCATGACCACCTTGGTCACTTTGCCAATCATCTGTCACGACTTACACGACGCCAGGCTTCTATTTGGCGGCCCCTTTTTTAGAGGCGAATGAGGCTGAACAACTTTGTTGGGATGGGGGCCGATATTTGGAGTCCTTCGGGGTGTAGGTGTGTGTGGGTGTGGGACGTATCGGGTGACAGGCACACACGCCCACGAGCCCACGGATTGGCTCACTTGACCTTGTCTAGCCACCACGGGCCACACAACGACCGACTTGCACACAGGTTCGAAAATAGCAACAATGTTCTCCCTGATACACTGTACATGACCTTTTCGCTTTTCCAACCTTGAAGGCGGCTTTTTTGTGTTCTTTTGCTGTCGCACCGCGCCAAACGCGGCTCTTTTGGCTGTACCCTTCCGAATGTTTGTCCCTTGTTTCGCAGACAACCCAGGCTGAAGTTCTGGAGCTAATTTCCCGCCCGACCGCCTATCTGGTACTACTAACATGGGGACGCGCAAACCAAACTGGTGGTTGCACCGGGGATGACTAGACGGTGAAGGATGGGACGGATGCGCTTAATTCAAGCAGGATGGATGTCAGTTTCGGTGAGGAAGGGTGGGTGTCTAGTGTCAGGACATACCCGGAGAGGGCTTAGTTAGGTTGTCAGGTCGTCAGCCGCTCGTTTTGACTTCGCCAGGCTTAGGCTTGCTGGCCAGATGAGTGCCCTGATGTTTTCCTCGTACAACCGTACGGCCTTGCCTACGCTACGGGGGCAAGGAATTTTTTTTGGAAGTTGGCGGCGGCCTCATGACCTTTTGGATGACTCTGAAATCAAGTCTGAGGAGGTCATGACCGGATGGCAGGTCAAAAGACTTTTGCGCAAAGAAGGAGGTGGGATATAAAGTTGTTGTTGTTTTCATCTGATCTGTTGTGTTTCTGTTTCTTTTTTTTCCCGGACCAGTTTTCACAAGTCAAACGTTCAACTGCAGAATCAGCAAAGCTCAACCAACACACATACACGCACAACAGACAACATAGAACAGACAACACACCAACAACACTCACTTGCACGAACGAACGACAAATTGACAAACATAACCATCCGCAACACCAACAACAACACCTTTCCCAACAGAACCGCAACAGCAGCACCAAGCCCAAGCCCAAGCAAGCAATGGCCCGCTGGTACTCCACAGACTATTGCACCCTCTGCTGCCGGCACATCCCCACTTACTCATGGTACTACCACTCCTACACCTGCCGTCGGAGCACCGTCACCACCACCACCGGCACCAGCAGCAGCAACAACAGCAGGCGGCGCTCACACTCGCGCCACCGCGAGCGAGAGTACGAGTACGAGACCACCGTCCGACGCACGCGAAGCCGAAGCCGGCACAGGTCTACCTCCTACTACTATTACCTTCCGTGGAGACATCATCGCCCGGCTCCCGAGCCCGTCGTGAGGTGCCCTACTCCTGCTCCGTTGCCGGAACCACCTTGCCGGAGAGGGAGCGAGGATAGGGATAAGGGGTGGAGGAGGAGGACGGTTGATATCTATATTGAGCACTGAGTCTCGAGTGCTCGGTGCTGAGGGTTGGATAAGGGGGATAAGAGGGGATAAGAGGGGATAAGAGGGGATAAGAGGGGATAAGAGGGGATACGACAAACATACACGCACACTCACAGACAAACACACGCTCTTTTCGATTATCAAATCGCTTCGCCTCTCTTTGCGGACCCTTCTTCTGCCGGACAAACGGTCATTCGATAACGACTCGTTTAATCCGACCACATTTACACTCCTTGATAACCGGCAACCGGGCCCTTCATCATTGGCCTGGATACCTCTACCTCTCTTTTGTTAAACAACTCAGACACACAACACAACAGCATGCACCTTCTTGCTTCTCTCTCTTTTCTTTTGTTCATGTGGGGCGTTGGCGTTTTGACGGAACCGGATACTGAAGAGACATACCAGACTGAATGACTGCCCATGATATGGTGGGATTCATTGCTTGGAACTAGATAGATGGAGTGTTGAACAGATTGCCATGGTCGGTTGATGATTGGGAATCACGGGATAGGAAGGGATGCATGTATGATTGACACCGAGATTGTTTCAGGCAGCGGTAGGGAATGGAATGAAACCAGATTGAAATTGAAGGTCTTCAGTAGCTTATCTGCTATTATAAGTGAGCGATGGATTTGGCGACAGTTGGTTGAGCGGATATGACAGAGTGTCTCCGGTCCTTTTCTTTTCTTCCTGCCCATCGCAACCGTTGTCAAATGCACTGGGTTAGGGTTATGGGTGATGCTCGCAGCATGATCACGACTCCAATCCGGGCCTTGGGGCGTCGCGGAAAACCCCCCTCGTGATCTGCCGTCATCCAACCTGCCGATGCCCGATATCATTTTGTCGTTATCGCTGTCATTTGATCCCGTCCCATCCCAACTCCCAACGAGCCGCCTCTGCGTTGGTCTTTGTGTTCATTCCATTGTTCAGTCTCAGCAATATAAATGTCAGCTTGTGTGGTTTTTCTCAGGACTTTCACCCGTTCGAATCGATGGCCCTTGGCTACAGCGGACCAACGACCCGCTCCAACGGCCCGCTCCGCAAAAACTCCGTTTGAACTTTGACGAACCAACAGCCTTTGTCGCGGTCACTATATCATCTCCATGGCAATCAACAACCGATGCCTTCATCAATGCTTCTTCCTGTTTATCTTCCAATATTTTTTTCGATTGCAAATCGTCGCCGTCAAAATATCGAAGCAATTCAACGGCATCAACAGCCGGCCTAAACGGCAAAAACTAGACCGAAGCAGTCTAGTCCCAATCGAGAAGGTTGTAACTGGGGAAAAATAGTGCCGAGGCGAGGTGACCAATCGCTTGGCGACCTTTGACGGCCCCGCCCATACCGTCCACTGTCTGCCTGCTAGATCGCCCAGCACATCGCCCAGCACGGAAGGAAGATTTTGACCTTTGGGGCGTCGCTGCCGTGTACCGCTGCAGGAGGGACGACGAGCCATGCGGTTTCGTTGCACTGCATTTTTTGACGTCTTGTCAAAATGCTTGAGAAGGTATCGTGAGAGATGCTCGAGAAGAACGTTAAAAGAAGGTTTGTAGTCAAGGGGATGTATACTACGGAAACAAAACAACATCAATAATACGATGAACACCAGCAGGGGCAGGCAAGCCAGCAAGGTTCCCCCATCGTCGCGGGGGACCCCGGCCGGATGCTTAATTCAACTTGGCAGGTCGCTCTCCCCCTGGTTCCGATGACAGTCCCCGGCTCAAGTCCGGGCAATCAACCGTCAAGATGCGGAAGGTGGATGTGAACCTTGCTCTTATCTTCCCGCGGAACACCACCACGACACTTTAATTTTCATTGCTCACAAATCAACCGCAGAGGGCTTCATTGGCCCATCGGTTCGGTTACATCCATGGCCACCAATGGCACCCAAAGTGAACAAAAGTTCGGTACGCTAGAATGCCGTCAGGGCACGGCGGCCGGGAAGGCGAACTGCAGCCAGAAGGCACAACCAGGAACGACAACTCGTGTTCCGAACAGCTCCTTCCATCTTCGGAGAATTTAAAGTTGTGCCAAGTGGATACAAATGATGCATCACTGGACGGAAATGTTTGCGCGCCAATGTTGAACCATGTTGGCGATTGAGTCTGCAAGATCCGGTTCGCATATAAACAGGCCGTTGGTCTCATCATGAACCGGGCCGGCCTACCCCCCATTCACCCTCTCTGCACCCTCTCCCCCATCCTCCCACCCGTTCTTGCCCTCACCTCTCGCTTCCCGCAAGTGAGGCAAGGCAACCGGCAACATGAGGTTTTTCTCCGCCGCCACCGCTCTTCTGGCGGCTGCTTCCACCGCCCACGCCGCCTTCTTCAAGACCGTCGGCATGGAAATCGGTCCCATCGACGACCAGATAGAAACCCTCAACAAGCGCGCCGAAGTCGAGGGCACTTCCGGCTACGGCACCTTCGACCAGCTGATTGACCACGACACCCCCGAGCTCGGCACCTTCAAGCAGCGCTTCTGGTATGGCTTCCAGCACTGGAAGGGCCCCGGCTCGCCCATCATCCTCGTCAACCCCGGCGAGCAGGCCGCCGATGGCTTCAACAAGTCTTACCTCACCGACCAGCGTCTGGCCGGCTGGATGGCCAAGGACATTGGCGCCGCCGTGGTGATCATGGAGCACAGGTACTGGGGCGAGTCCAGCCCTTACGACCAGTTGACAGTGAATAATCTGCAGTATTTGACGCTGGAAAATTCGTTGAAGGACATCAACTACTTTGCCGAGCACATTGAGCTGCCTTTTGACGAGACCAATGGTAGCAAGCCCGCCAACGCTCCCTGGATCTTCACCGGTGGTTCCTACTCGGGCGCCTTGGCCGGTTGGCTGGAGGCTCTGTACCCCGGAACCTTCTGGGCGTACCATGGCACTAGTGGTGTGGTCGAATCCGTTGGACATTTCTGGACCTATTTCGTCCCTGTCCAGGAGGCGACTCCCCAGAACTGCAGCAAGGACTTGAGCGCTGTTATTGACTATGTCGATTCCATCTTGCTGTTTGGTACTAAGAAGGCCAAGCACGACCTCAAGGCCAAGTTCAAGCTGCAGGATTTGACTGATCAGGATTTCGCTTCGTAAGTTCAATGTCTTGTCAATATGTCTGTCAAGCCGGTTGATGTGCTAATGTACCTATTTACAGCGCGATTGAGAGTGGTCCCTGGACCTGGCAATCCACTCAGTTCTACTCGGAGAAGACCACCGGTTACACTCCCTACTACCGCTTCTGCGACTACGTCGAGAACGTCTGGCCCAACTCGACCAACAAGGTCCCTGGCCCTCTCGGTGTTGGCATTAAGAAGGCCCTGGACGGCTACGCCAAGTGGTTCACCGAGGAGTCTCTTCCCGGCAGCTGCGAGTCTATCGGCTACGCCGGATTCGAGGGCACGGACAACGTCCTCTGCTTCCAGAACCAGAACGCCTCCAACCCCATCTTCCACGACCTGTCGGTCGGCAACCCCTACAACCGCCAGTGGAACTGGTTCCTCTGCAACGAGCCCTTTGAGTGGTGGCAAGACGGCGCGCCGCTCGGCCGCCCCTCCATTGTGTCCCGCCTCGTCGACGCCGACTACTGGCGCAAGCAGTGCCCGCTCTGGTTTCCTGTCGAGAAAGGCTCTAAGGTCTCCTACGGCATCAAGCAGGGCAAGCGCGCCCAGGACGTCAACAAGTGGACCGGCGGCTGGAAGCACACCAACGGCACACGCATCATGCAGGCCAACGGCTCGCTCGACCCCTGGAGGGACGCCACCCTGTCGTCTAAGTTCCGACCCGGTGGCCCCTTCAAGGGCAATAAGAATCACCAGGTCCGCGTCATCGAGGGCGGTACTCACTGCTCTGACTTTTATGGTCCCAACTGGAGCGCCAATGAGGGCGTCAAGAAGATTGCCGAGGAGGAGGTTGCCCAGATGGGAGAGTGGGTGAAGGACTTTTATAAGGTCAAGGGCATTACCAAGCCTCAGTAAGCGATGGGGTGATGGAGTTGTTGTACATATGAGGATGAGTGGGAGTATCTGCCTACCTATGATTGAATGCCTTCATGTACATACCTAATGAGAACATGATCGTATATGATATTCTTGAAAGAGAGTCCAGAGACCAATATTTGCAGAGCCGTTGACACCTCCGATGAACCTGGTGTGGGTTTGGGTTTCGGTGAGGGATGCGGGTGAGGCAGACCGAGTAGACGAGGCAGGCGGAAGTGAGGGAACGATGCAGGAGCGGCGTAGACAGGATGCAAGCAGCCGCCCGGTATGTCAGAACAGGGCAACGGCGAGACGCATGCTTTCCGTGCAGTGTGTCTTGTCAACTGCATATTGCACCACGAATAAAAGATGGAAAAGGGAAAGCTAGTGTTTGTTGCACTGGTGGAGATTGAGAAGTTTGGAAGGTGTATCTCATCCCGATGTTTACTTATTTTCTGCAAGTTTCTTTTACCCTTGGCACCTCGTCTCTCCGTCTTCTTTTTTCTGCATTCAACCAACCCGACGGCCCGACGGACAATCAAGCATTTCCCAACCTGGCTTTGCTCAACAACATCCCTCTCAAAATGTTCTCAAAATGTTCTCAAAATGTTCTCAAAATGTTCTCAAAATGTGCTAAAAATGTGCTACCGACACGGTTGAGGAAAAGTCTCCTCAGGCCCTCAGGGCATTTATTGCACGAAGACTTTTTACTTTTTGAACATTTTCTGTCTTTGTATTTGCTTTACTTCCAAAGCTTCAGGATCTGTCGTCAACCCCGCCGGTTGTACACGCATATCGGCATGTTGGCCCGGTCTAACTTCCATGGACGATGTCCACTGTCCACCGTCCACGAAGCACGAAGCACGAAGCACGAAGCACTTGTATGCTCCTTTCTTTACCTGGCCAGGCTGGCATGGGCGGCTAGCTGTTAGTAATGGACCCTGGAAACATCGCGGATTGTAATTATTGGACGAGTCTAACATATGGAGGTGGTAGTAGCGAATGTGTTCCGCGTCACAAGCCTCAACAAAATCACTCCTTCTATCTACCCAAGCATCACCGTGATGTAGTCTGGCAGAACTACCTCTAGCAACCATCCCGTCTCTATGGGCCAAGCGCTCCATTATCCAAGCTGCGAGAAGGAATACACCAGACAACCAACTTGTCAGGAGCTTCCCACGCCACCGTCGATGCCTATGAAAAGCAGACGTGAGCAGATGATTCACCAAGAAAACGAAGAAAGAAGACTCATCATCTGCTGGTGCCAGCACGGATAGAAGCTAGCCAGAAGTGAGCTGCTGTCTGGTTTGCACCCCACATCCCTACAAACGCCTTCGAAACCCCAACCACATCGCACGAAGAGGGGCGCTTCACAGTTCGTCAAGAAAGCGTTTTGCGGAATATCTTACAAAAATCGCCAAAAAAACACATCTCCCTCTTGCGTATCGTCAAAGAAATCTAGCTTGACTCGTACAAAGCCACTCCCGCTCTGTCAACGCTGAGAAGCTCAGTTTTGTATCCAATCGTCACCTTTTTCGATCTGACGAGAAGCAACCACGCCTTCGCTCCACAAGGTTTCATTCAATCTTCACTTCGGCGAAAAGGAATACACCAAGCAGCCCACTTGTCGGAAGCCGCCCACACCACCGTTGTTGCCTATACCATATCAATCAACAGTCGGTCAGCAAATGATTGATAATGGGCGCTGTCGGCCAGCAAGTTGAGACAGGAGCGGAAAAAAGACTTACAATTCCTCCAGTTGTTATAGAACAACTCATAACACCCATCCTTCCCGTCTACGCCTTTTTCCCCCAACGGCCTCCTGGGTTCCTGTTCGGCCACTCCACCCGCAGCCAACACGCACCCCTCTTTCCACTCGACCCTCATCTTCAATGGCATCCCAGATCGTCTCCAAGTGTGCACATCCTCCCACGCCTCGCTGTCCTTTCCCATCTTTTGCGGCATCCTGGTAATATACTTGCCGTTGCATGCAGCCTTGGCCGCCTCCTTGACTGAGACCTCGTTCACGTCACCGTGCTTCGGCCACTGCGACTCGCTGTAGCATTGCTGATTCTGGAGAGCCAGGGGAGTACCGCCGCTATCAGGAGATCCACCGGGAAGAAGGATGCTGTACGCGTAGGTGCCACAGGCAACATCGAGAGAGCCGGAAAGGGCCATGACGTTCTGCTCGCCGCCGGTGTAGCCACAGGGGGGAGTCGGCAATGGCGCGGTAGGCATCGGCGCACCTCATGGGACAGGACGACGAGCTGGAAGGTTTCCACTGTAGGGAAACTCGGTAGTCCCTGTACGTGTCTGGGGTGGTGGGTGGTGTTCTTTTGTTAATCGACGACGAGGAGTCCAGGTCCAAGGACGAGGCGGGCTTCGCGGCCTTGACTTTCTTGAGCAGCGGGATCTGGTTACCCTTCGTGTCGACAATCCAGGAGCGAGAAGACGCGGGTTGCCGCTCGACTTCGGAGCAGAACTGGCCGTGGACGTTGTACTCAGAGCCTGAGAAGATGTTCCAGGGCAGGATGCCCGGCTGGTCCATTTGGCATTCGGGATGGGCGGTGGCGGTGGGGATCACAGGCCTTCCGTTGACTGGTCTGCCAGGGGATGGTGGTGACGGTCTGGATTGAGGTAGTCTGAGTGGCACAGGGCATGACTAGCAAGCCACCGCATTTTGAGAGCGAGAGGTTGGATTGAGGAGACGATGAAACAATGCGTGAAGCTGAAAGTTTGGTGGAGTGTGGTGTTGAGACGATAACGTTTGGCTTGATTGCTGTTGTTTGTCTTGAGCTGCTTTAAGACTTCCTCTAGGCTGGACACGCCACTCTTCTTATATCTTCATGCTGTCGCCGGACGCCATACTTCATCATGTCTCCCCAAACCGACGGCTCCTCACATCTTCAATGGGCACTGAAGCTGAGTTGGGTGACGTTGTTGACCTGATTCTTCACGCCTTGCCGGCGAGACGCTTACATCACGATGGGGCTGATGGGGGCCAGGCAAAGCGTCATCTTGGACAATTGGCGTCTGGTGCCGTGTGTGGAAGTCAATGACGGTTCATCTGTATTGTTGGTTTTATTTTGAGATACCAGCGCGGCTGATCTTTGCTTCATGGCCATTCATGTTGGTGATGAGAAGGTGTTCTATCTTCTGGGTAACGCAAGTTCTGCGGCGTCAGCGAGGTCAGATGGAAGGAGACCTACATACAGCACATCATTCACCAACTCCCTGCCCCCAAATGGAATTGAGACAGTCAAGGCTTCGGCTACAACAGCATTGTGTGACGAACCGTTACAAGCACAGGAGTATATCGCTGGGATGTAGGACAACGGTAGTAGTAGCCAAAAGGTACTGGTTGATTGTGAAAACTATTGCTTGCGGAAGAACCATAATAACGAGGGCCGGGAGGCCTTATATCTGGTCTTCAGCCCCGTCCCGTGGTCCCGTAAACTCGGGACCCCGGGTCCTATCTGATTGGTCAATTCTATCTAGATACATGAGGCTCAACGATTGGATCGTAACACATTGCATGAAACATGAGAGATGAGGTTGCGTCTCGGTTTCAGGGACCCGAAACCTAGGGATCGCCATGGATCGTGATGTCGACGCCACCGAGAAGTTCCACGGAAGGATCTAATGCAGGTGGACGTTGGTCTAAACCGCATGGAAGGCGAATGGGATCGCGATCTTTTCTTCTGGGTTGTCGAATGTAGCAACAGCCGCCGGCCCGGCCTTTGGCGTTGGCGTTCCCGGCCCTCACAAGGCACATGGTACAGCATGCAGGTCTGTCCGTGTGGAACAAGGATATAAACAATGATCGTCGGCCGGTTGGCGTGGTTAAGAGACGACACTTCTCAACTCCCCCCGCCAACTTGAGGTAGCATTCATTCCCACCGCAACCACCTGAGCGCTTGGGGCCACGCAAGGCGATCACCTATTTTGAGCGTCGTGCTTGAAGCTCAGCCTGTGTCGATACAACCTCTCTCCTACTTACCTGACCATCACTTCCTTTCCTTCTCTACCCACGCCGGTTACTCTCCCGCTTCAACAACACAATGAGAATGGCTGCAGAAAGCGACTTCATTACCGCTTGCGAAACCGAAGATGTCGAAGCGGTTACCCGAATACTCGAAAAGGAAGTCGTATCGGACGACCAGCTGCAGAAGGGCCTTTCCAGAGCTGCATGGAGAGGCCGCCCTGCCGTGGCCAACATTCTGCTTTCCAAAGGCGCCATTGTTGACCGGATGAGCTTCTTGGGAAGTGTCAGCCGCGGCGATGTAGCCATGTTTGAGCTCTTTGTCAAGTACGGTTTTGACATCAACACGACTGAGTTTGAGGATGGTACAGCACTTCGGTAGGGTGTTCCCCTGCCCCCGCATTCGTTACATTTGCCTTTTACAGCACGGCGAGAAGATACTGACAAACCATTGGGACCAGGTTGTCCGTCGGCAATGAGAAAATTATGCGCTGGTTCCTCGCCCACGGTGCAGACCCCAATCTTGCTTATGATCGGGCCCCCTCCGCCCTCCTCACGGCTGTGGTCGATGAGGAGGGTGGTGATGCCGTTCGTATCTTTTTGGAACATGGCGTGGCGTTGGAGCCCCCCAACATCAATCATTTGGTCATCGATGCCAATGCTGGTAGGTCAGATCGTGCATGCGTGGACATGGTGAAGCAACTGGTCCGGGCTGGGGCCTACATCAACCACATTGATCCCAAAAAACAGGGCACCGCTGCACTTTGCCGCATGGCACAACAGAGGCGACATTGTGGAAGCACTTATCGAGTTGGGAGCCGATCCTGACATAGTGTTCATGGGCCGTACGGCAGCAGATGTGGCCAAGGAGGAGGGTCAAAGGTTCAAGCCCTTCCTGGAGATTTACGAGTTTCTGAAGGACAAGACAAATGTTATATCGGAGTAGTAGGTTGAGGGACCTGAGTATGACAGCGGCTATGATGGGTGAAGCGATCAGTTTCCTTCCTCTATCTCTTATGGATGGTGCATAAAATACCCGACCGTTTCCCAATTTTTCAACTCAGAGAGAGCATAATCCTCCACACTCATCATTGTATCCTGTTTCAACTGTTTTTTTGGCAATTCAATCTATCTTCTTGCGCCTTCTACCCTCACTGCCTTTCTCACTGCCAGCTCACGCACACGAGCCCACAGAATGAAGACATTCTCGGTGCCTCCTGCTACGCGGAGCATCTTGGTGCTTATTGCGTTCCTTATTGGCGTCAGTACGCTTCTGTCCTTCTCAGGTATGTCGAGGTTTTGAAAGGCGGCCACCCGAAGGGGAAAACATGATTGGTACTAACTGAGCTTCAGGAAATGACGCCGGCAGCCAGAGTCATTTATCACTCAGAAAATCTCCCAAGTTCCGCGAGCATCTAGCACACCGTCCCTTGAAGAAGCAAGATGAATGTGAGGTCTCAGAGCAAGGCGAATGGACCTGTGACTCTTGCGGTCCCCCAGTGGTCTTTACCGCAGCTGACTCTCTTGCTGCGCGAGAAGGGTACTACATCCAAGCCCAAGCTCACAATGCCTCGGCTCTTCATCTGACCGAGCGCACAATTACCGAACCGGCCCCGGGTGAAGAGAATGATTTCATGGTCAATGAGATTCCAGAGGCAACACAAATGGTATGGGAAGTTCCCGAGGGCACCGACGTGAACACGGCTAATTTCACTCGTTTTGATGCAAAGAATCCCATCAGCGTGGGCACGAGCCATCTCTGCGGATGTACCTCCATGGTTATCATCAGCCAACGCGGTGTCTACGCCTCGCATTACTGGGAGAACATCGCATTCGTCCCCGACAAGGCCTTTCGCCTGACGCATGAGGAGACAGACGATGAGGTGTTTGAGCGGACCATCATAGACCCCATCAAGAACGGCAAAAATCTGCGCACAAGAGTCGAACAGCACAAGCTGGACGCGAGCAAGATTGGAAACCAAGAGTCCGACAACATCAGAGCGTTTCTGGTGCGTCCTAACAAAGCTTACAGAAACGATCTGATGGGTGACTATGAGCAGAAGTGGGCGTGCATCAGGAACACGGTGGGAGGAATCATCAGCTTGTTGGACCCGAACACCGAAGGGGGAAGGTCGAGATGGCAGGAGGTCACGTATGGTCGCCTTTCGAGTAAAAGCCGCTTGCTCAACACAAAAGCGAACGGAAAGGTTCTGGTCAAGTATGACCCCAATCATGAGGGGAAGAAGAAGGTTGTTTTGTGGGTGGAGACGAACAAGGTTTATGAGTATGAATGGGACTACTAGAGTCAGGTAGGGAGGTAGCCATAGTCTTTGGATACGGACAATGGAGGTATGCGGGTAGAAACGGATGGATAGGTAAATTGGGACAGAGCGGGGGCAATGGGAATTGGAGAGAGCAGGAAGATAATGTGTCAGTCGATTAAACTGGGTGATGTGATGGCGGCTTAGTTAGGCTTACATATAAGAACTTTTTTGACATTCGAGTTCCTAGACTAGAGGTAGTTGTCAGTCTAGTAATCGTAATCCGCAAAACTACCTTTGACTCCTCCAGCTTGGGACAATAAATGTATTGCTCCACCGCTGGTCCTTTCTCCCCGCTCATCTTCGCCCTTGTCCAGCTCGTCCAGGTACCAGCAGCAAAGGTTTCTCCACAAAATCATCAACCTACACACAAACCCGGCAAACATAGGTACCTACCGTATCTAGACCCCGTCAGACCTTTAAGAACGTTTTCGTCATACCGCTCACAGCAGCTAGATTATCCATACATTATACGGCGTTAACCTTTCCCTTACATATTCAACGACAATAGGATTCTTTTGCGGAAACACGGAACGTTATAGCGTAGTGGTGAA